TGCTGATCTAGCAACACAACCTCCTTCAGATTTAGCAATACATCCTGACATGAAGGTTTCACACTCATCATCCTTTGTGGCTGTAGTATTATCTGTACATTATCTCACACTGCATGCAGCTGAAGTAGATGTTCCAAAACAATATTTAGTACTATTACTTCCAACAACAGCAGCTTCACAAAATGCTAAAACACCTGTATAACTTGCACAAGTTGTGTCACCAGCTTTTGGATCAACACATCCTCCATTTCCATTATAAACACAACCTTCTAAAAATGATCCGCATGTTCCATCTGTTTAGTTTGTAGCCAATTTGCATGTTTTAATTTGACAAGAATCATTTTCAGTTGCTGATGCACTGTTATAACATTGATTTGTTGTAAAATTATCACTAGATCCAGATTTATAAGCAAATAGCTTATTACATGTTTCTTATGTTCCTTTCATTTATTAGCAAGTAGTAGTGTAATCAACACAACCTTTTCCATTACTAATGCATCCAGGTAAGAATGTTGCACATGTGGCATTATCAGTGGCATCTGTATTATCTGTGCACTTTCTTTATACACATGCTGTAGTATCTGTAGCTGTTGATGTATTTGTACAATAACCTGGATAACTCAAACAAGTGGATTATGTTCCAAAGAGTTTGCTACAATCAAATTTAGTTATGCATGCATCAACTCTATTACTAATACATGTTGATAATTCTGCTGCACAATTAGCATCTGTATTGTAATAAGCACCTGTTAAATCTGAGCAAGCAAGTTCCTTACAAGCATTATTCAACCAACCACACTTTTTTGTTACATATATGTATAATGGATTTCCATTATCATCATTTTTATCAAAAGTTCTAACTCTAGCAGAATTGGCTAAACAAATTGATTTTTTCTTAAATTCACTGCATTAGGCATTACTTGTACATATTGGTTACCATGAACAATTTGTTGTACCTTCACAACTTTATTATTTGACTGTCAAATCACAAGTAGTTTATGAAACACATCCTGATCCAGTAGTAACACAATTAGTGAAATAATTAGCACATAGAGGATTAGTATTTAAATTAGTTGCTGCACTTGTACAATCTCTAGCTACACATTTTGTTCCACTCTTCCACATACATTTTCCTTCAGATCCAACTCTTGATTAACAACTAGTAGCATCACCATCATAAGTAGTACAAGATTTCAAATTAGTCTTTGTAACACAACCTTTTCCTGTAGTGACACATCCAACTTAATATTTATTACAAGCCTCATCAGTTGTTGTTGTGTCTGGAGCTTCATCACAAACCTTTGGTAAGCAAGAAGCTTCAGTTGTTGTACTGGTTCCTTTGCAATATCCATCAGTACCAATATATACAGCACAAGTTGTTGCAGTACCTTTATATGTGTTACAAGCTGTTAATGCTGAAACACAAGTCTTGCCATTTGTTCTACAACTAACTTGGTATTATTTGCAAAGTTCATCAGTATTGAAAGTACCATTTTCACACTTTCTTGCCCTGCACTTAGAACCACCAGCATCTCCTTCACAGATACCATCTGATCCAATATATCCTACGCAAGTTGTGTTATCTCCTGAATATGTAGAACATAAAGGCTTTGTTGTTGCTAAAACACAACCTTTTCCTGTTGTGATACATCCCTTTTGATATGCTTTGCAATCATCATCAGTAGCTAAAGATAATGGAGCATTCGCACATTCCTTAGCTTTACAATTTGTGGTACCAGCTGCTAATTCACAATTTCCATCTGATCCAATAAATGATTAACAAGCAGCATCATCTCCTGTATAAGTAGCACAAGCAGGTCTTGGAGAATTAACACAACCTTAACCTTTTGTCACACAACCAGCCAACCAAGCTGAACATTTTTCATCAGTATTTAAACTAGTATCTGCTTCTGAACAAGAGAAATCTCTACATGCTCCAGAGTTTGTATCCCATTTACATTTGAGAATACCTGAGATACTTGGAGTTGATTCGCATTGTTGTTAATTGTATTCTTTACATTCTTTTGCTTCAATACATGCATTTCCATCGCTAACGCAAAAGAAGGATATTGCCTAACAATCTGTTGTTGTAGTTTTAACATATGCTGGACATCCTGCAAAATGTGTACATTTTGAATCGATATAGGCACATCCTAATGTCTTAGCACAATTTGTTTCTGGCTTATCAACAAGCTCACAATAAGGTTTGAATGAAGCTACAGGATCCACTGTTGTCTTTTTCTAACATTTTGCTGCTGTTGTTCCTGCTGCAGCTACCCATTCACAAGCTCCAGTAACAGTAATTTCTTATTCACAATCATTCTGTGATTTTAATTGTCCACAATCACTGCACTGATTTTTATGTTGTACTTGCTATGTTAAGACCATAGCTATTAAGCAGATGAGAATTAAATTCTTCATTTAAAGTATTAAATAAAAATTATTAGATAAAGGGAGGTTAAATAATCTCAAAAAATTAATTTTTTTTGCTTAGATAATTGCATACTAAATCTTAAAAAAAGTTGATTAAGAATTAAAATTGAAAATTAATTGACATCATTAATATTTTTAATTTTTGTTTTTCTAGATAAATCTCAAGAACAAGGGATCATAAAGTGTGTTGCTGGTTCTCAATAATATATATTAATTCAATGATTCAATTCAAAACAAAAGTATATTAAACTTAAAAGCTTTTAAATAGATGTTTTAACAGAACTAAAGAGAGTTAATAATGCTATGCTGAATTAGAAGAGCCTGGGAAGGAATGTATTTACAAAAGAAATAGAAAAGCCATCCTAGTTTTTAGTAAATGCCTTGACTCATAATAAATATACATATATTTAAAATTTTTTTATTTCCTTTATTGCATAAACTTTTAAAGTATTTCTTTGGAATATGAGTGCATAGAATCAAAGGAATCCTTCCTTAATAGATAGATTTTCACATTTTAGGAAACTAGAAAAATTTATTAAGAGCATGAATTGTCAGAATAAAATTCCAGAAATGCCATATCATGCAAGATTTAATGAAGGATTATAAGGATTGGAGGTTAGGTTTGATTTTTACAGATAAAATATATAAAAATAGAAAAGTCAATATGAAGACATCCTTATGATTAAAATGGTAACTGTAAAGCTTAAAACAGAAGGTTTAAGGTAAAAGGACTTCGAAACTCATATATAGAAGTAACAGTAGCTCATTTTTATTGATAGAAGTTAAAATATGTTTTTGCTAGAAAAAATTATATAATAATTAAAAAACTCCTTATTATAATTCTAGAAAATCTCAAAAACATTTTAGGGCAGAAATATACAAAGCCTCAAACTAATTTATAGAGAAACTGGACGCAATTTTAATACTAAAAACATTTATATATGTTATAAAAGCGTTAACAAAAATTCAAGAAAATACACAACGCAATCCAATAGTTGTAAAATAGATAATACAATCTTTAGTATTTTTCCATCAGTTAGTCAATTAATCTAATTTTACAAAAAGAATGCCAAATTCTAGTGGGATAGAATATTTATAAAAATAAATGTGTTAATTAATTAATATTAAGTCGATTAATATTTGAAATGAAAATATCGAGTCAAAAATAAAAGAAGATGAAATGGTTTATTATAGTGATAATATTTAATTTAATATGGCAGGAAGTATTCATAAAAATGGTATATCTATTATGATGTTCACGAATTACTGTATGACTATATATGTTGGATTTAATNAAACAAAAGTATATTAAACTTAAAAGCTTTTAAATAGATGTTTTAACAGAACTAAAGAGAGTTAATAATGCTATGCTGAATTAGAAGAGCCTGGGAAGGAATGTATTTACAAAAGAAATAGAAAAGCCATCCTAGTTTTTAGTAAATGCCTTGACTCATAATAAATATACATATATTTAAAATTTTTTTATTTCCTTTATTGCATAAACTTTTAAAGTATTTCTTTGGAATATGAGTGCATAGAATCAAAGGAATCCTTCCTTAATAGATAGATTTTCACATTTTAGGAAACTAGAAAAATTTATTAAGAGCATGAATTGTCAGAATAAAATTCCAGAAATGCCATATCATGCAAGATTTAATGAAGGATTATAAGGATTGGAGGTTAGGTTTGATTTTTACAGATAAAATATATAAAAATAGAAAAGTCAATATGAAGACATCCTTATGATTAAAATGGTAACTGTAAAGCTTAAAACAGAAGGTTTAAGGTAAAAGGACTTCGAAACTCATATATAGAAGTAACAGTAGCTCATTTTTATTGATAGAAGTTAAAATATGTTTTTGCTAGAAAAAATTATATAATAATTAAAAAACTCCTTATTATAATTCTAGAAAATCTCAAAAACATTTTAGGGCAGAAATATACAAAGCCTCAAACTAATTTATAGAGAAACTGGACGCAATTTTAATACTAAAAACATTTATATATGTTATAAAAGCGTTAACAAAAATTCAAGAAAATACACAACGCAATCCAATAGTTGTAAAATAGATAATACAATCTTTAGTATTTTTCCATCAGTTAGTCAATTAATCTAATTTTACAAAAAGAATGCCAAATTCTAGTGGGATAGAATATTTATAAAAATAAATGTGTTAATTAATTAATATTAAGTCGATTAATATTTGAAATGAAAATATCGAGTCAAAAATAAAAGAAGATGAAATGGTTTATTATAGTGATAATATTTAATTTAATATGGCAGGAAGTATTCATAAAAATGGTATATCTATTATGATGTTCACGAATTACTGTATGACTATATATGTTGGATTTAATGTATTGATTGCTGGAAAAATATTATAAATTTATTTGAATGAATGAATTATATCATTCTTATAATTGATATAGAGAATTATAAAATATATTATTAAAAATTGTTAATTCATTAATATTTCATTTTGTTTTAGAAGATCAGTTGAATATTTAATTGAAAATAAATACTAATGAAATTAATAAAATCTCAAAAAATATACCCATTTTGATGGATGAGAAGGTATAAACACTTATCAGAATAAGTTAGTTACTTTAATGTATACGCCAATTTATGGTAATCGATCATCTTTTTTTTTTAATTAATTGATATTCATAGTCTACTGTATATGGTTACAAGAATAAGAATCATGCAAGATCTTTTAAAACTTATGATGAAAAGACAGATAGAAAAATAACAAGAATTTAAATATTCTTAGAATTATTTATTAATTATAAATTATTATTTTTGCCTTTATTTATAATATTTGATATAAATATTTTTTGTTTCACTTATTACTTAATTTTTATGAATTATATATTAGACTTATATCAAAAATATAATAAAGCAATCTACAATATTGATTATAATAAAATTTAAAATGAATATGAAAAGGGAATTATTGAATTAGCAAATAATTATTTAAATAAACATAAAAGACAATTTAAATTCCATCTTAAATGTTAATGAGACCAAATTTTACATTTTTAAAAACTAATGTGATTATTACTTTCATTGGTTACCATATTTAGTGTTTCACATTTTTTTAAACACATAAAGTTTCTTGAATGGCATAAAGGAGATAAGAAAAGAAGAGTTCTAAGAATAATCATATGTAATTTGCTTACAATAATAGGTTGTATTATAGTATTGAATTTCGAGCATATTGCTTTAATTAATAGAATATCTGAATGTCATTTGTTTAGGTATTTTTAACATAAAAAAAGAAATTTCTGATCATTAGTTCACTTTTTTTTCAATACATCACTGACTTTAAATATTTGAATTAAATTAGTAAAGTATTGATTATATAATCCACATGATCATGATGTGTCAGGCTGAATAAAAATATTTAAGAAAACAGACTTTGTAATTTTGAGTATTTTATTTATCAATTTTTATTTGTGATTTATTTAGAATTGTTTGTAAATTTTTAATTAATATTTAATATAAACATTTGAAAAATATTAAAAAAGGTATTGAATTTAATAATTAGGAATCGTTTAGATAAGAAACCTTAAAATTAGGATATTAAAGTGGAATAACTGCATGATGGAAGTCTGATAAATCTCATTTAATTATTAGATAAAGGTGATATGTTGGAAATGAATTAATATATCAATTAGATATCTCAAGAAGAAAGTTAAAGTAGTTAAAAGCACATCATAGGAATCAATAGGATTTAAATTTTCATTAAAATTAAATACGATTTAGTTAAAGAAAGAAGATAAAGGATATGGACCATAAGTAATATTCACTGAAATGTACTGTTCTTCTAAAATTCGTATCAATGACAGCTACAATAAGTTATTAACATTTAAAGTTTGAATTTCGGTTTTAATAATTAAATATGATGTACAGCCTATTTGTATAAATAATATAAATGAAAAGGATTGATGAATATTTGCAAAAACTTCTCTTAATAATTTTTTTGTAATAATGAAGTTTCAGAGAATTTTTCCAATTGCAGCATAAGAAAGTTTATCTGAATCATTTAGTGAATAGTTAATATAGATTGGAATTATTCTTTTTTTATAGTTACACCAGAATCATTTTCAATAATATTATTCTTGACTTAGATAACTTATGGATATAACTATTACACCCTTTCAATAAAAAAATTTAGGAATTAAAAGATTGAAATTGTATTTTTATTGGTTTAGATTTGACATTAATTATCTTTATTTCCTAAGTATTTGTAAGAATTTTATTCATAATAAAAATAAAAAATTAACATCTACTTAAGGATAAGTATAATCTTTAGAAATATAGATAAACATGCAAAAGGAATAATGGGAATTAATGTTTTTTTTATATATAATTCATATATCTTTATCGAAATTGGTCTAAACGGTTAGTTATACGTATTAATTTTTTTATTCATTAAGTTAAACCCTAAAAATACTCTAGTATATTACAATTTTCTGAAAATATTGTTTTGTTTGAATAGAATTTTTCTTATTTTTCCAATATTTTATTTTGCTTTTTCTTCTTTTTATCTCCATTTATTTAGTCTATTTCTCAGAAATTTTGTAATTGCAAAATTAGGTTTACAAGCTGAAAACATATTTATGAGTAATGAAATGACTTTTACCTTGTGTTTAAGAATATAAGTATTTAGAATATTCATAATAAATGGATAACTCAATATAATACTATCTACAATTATAAATATTTGAATGATCGCTGAAATATTTTCATTTCCTTTTTATTCAGATATATATTTGAGAACCGCTAAAAATATTGCAATTAAGCAAAATTATACACTTTAATTATCTAATTAATTAAGTTTTTTAAGAATATAAGGTTTATATTTATAGGCAATCAATTAGTAAAACAATAAGCAAAGGCTTAATAATTATGCTTTAAAAAATACGTCAGTTTAAAAATATATTAGGACCAAAATGATAATAGTTTTTTTCCATAATTTTATAATTTCCCAAAAATAGCTATTTTAAGTATATTCATTAAATAAATATCCTAAATGTCTTCGAAACTTTATTTTATCATGTTAATCTCTATTTATGTACAAAATCAAAAATATTAATAAGGGTAAAATTAATCCAATTAAACAAGATCCAGGTATTGAAAATCCATATATCCAAGAGATATGACTTTTAGATCCATACAGTAATGATACATCACCTGATATATAATTTATATTTGAAATCTATCTAACAACTAAAATAGAAAAAAATCTAGTTAATATAAATAAATTTTGTTACTGATTAAGTAAAGAAGCATAATTTTGTACATACATTTATAAGATAGTAATTGAAATAATCAGGCTTTTGAATTTAGTGTTTTTAATTATTGAAACAATTTTAAAACCAATAAAGATTACTAATATTTAACAAACCATAAGGACTAACATAACTATGATTCTAGTGTAAATTAATTCTATCTCTTATATTTCAGACAAAAAACATTCAAAAAAATTAGTCATAAAATATGAAGTATCATTTGATTATTTAAAAATACCTAAAGATATGGTTAATTTAATATTAAATGTAAAGATGAGTGAAAATATCCATAAATAATTAAGAAATAATTTAAATAAAATACTTTCATGATCTAAATATATTAATATAAATAAATTAATACCTTAATTTAGTTTGAATAAAATATGAGCAAACTTTTATCTAAGTTTAAGTTATGCAAACAATATATTTGATTTTTCAATACTGCCAATAGTTAATAGTGTTGATAAAATAGCCCTATTATTTATTAAAATTTGCAATACCATATTGAAATCAAAAAAAATGCTATTAACCGTTTAGTAGTATCCTAACATTGCTCACATTCTACTGATTATTAATTTTTAAAGAATTATCCATCTCCTCTTACATTAAATCTATCACATTCTTCACAAAGTCCTCCTAGATGTCCTCTAAAACATAGTTCATTATTAACACCCCAACCACCTTAACAAAGATATTGGTTTTTATAACATAATTCTACATCATCAGAAGTGTAATGTGGTCTCCAATAACCAATTTTTAATAGAATTTTATTAGATGTAATTGCTTCAAATTTATTTTTATCAAAAATTGAACATTTTGTTGTATTATATGTGACTGAATAAAATCCTTATTCTGATTAACATTATTGGCAACTTGAGGAAATATAAAACTCCCCTAATTAACAGAGAAAGGCTTTAACTCTCATTAAATATGCTAAACTCTCATCATAATAGTTTGTTTTACAATTAATTAAAATTTCTTAAATTTTATCATCTTACTCAAAAGGATCAATAATAAAATCTAAAAAACCTAAGTTAAAACTTTTTGTTTCATTTTCAAAATTTATTTTTGATATTTGGGTTGATTCCATTACTTATTATTCTTAGATATCAAATATTTATTGCATTATATTACAAAGAAGTGTTTAAAAAGTTATTTTATTGTTCATTCAAGGTATTTTTAAACAAAATCCTAAAATCATGAATGTAAGATTAATAATTCTAAAGCTTAGGATTATAAAGTTGATATTTTGATATTTATTGACCGCTTGGAACAAATAAAAATTATGCATGTATTTAACGATCTTACTATATGATTTTATATGGTTTTAATATTAATAATTATACAGGATGATGTTCAATTGTTTCTTATTTAGAAACCATTTCTATATTATTAAGAAATAATGATAATCTTGAGGGTGATTCATTTAAATTATTTGAAAATTATTAAGCTTAATTTAATATGAGTAGAGATTAAATAAAATTATTTTGATTTAATCTATTATTTCCACTCAAATATAATCCACCTGCTTCATCTGCTTAATTATTACAAATTGCTGTAGATGATATTTTAAAGTTATAATCACTTAATTCTAAATAGATACCACCTCCTTTCTGAGATGCTGTGTTCTTAATAATATTAGAATTAGATAAAAGAATTCTTAAATTTTAGACATAAATACCTGATCCTAAACTTCCATCATTTGAAATAAAAGTTGATTGATCTATTAACATTTTGCCTTCCAAATTATCATTTGATTTAGCTGCTAAACAACCATACTATTTTATTTTGTTTTTCATACAATATAATTCTGAAACTTGAATTTTCTCAACATTTATAATATCAAAATACAGTAAACCATTCCAAAAATGATTACAGGTATTATTAAAGATAATAATTTTTGCTAATAAGGCCCTTGTTAAATTTGTGATACTCTTTATTCTAATTAATGATCCAGTTTGATTTGACTTTGAAATAATTTCATCAAAAAATTTATCCACAAATTCTTATTTTTTATTTTATTAGATTATTTATTAATTGTTAAGATTACAAAGAACAAATTTTAAACTAATATGATCCTGCATTTAAAAAGTTAAATTTTTAGTTGAATTCTAATATTTGAAATCAATTAAATTTGTGATTATAATGTTATTAATAGTCATTGTAGATTATAAAATATTGTTTTATAATATATCTATTAAATTTAAGGTATAAAAAGTTGAAATATAAACAAGTTGTAAATTTCCCAATTTTATAGAACTAGAATCTCTAATTTTAATTATCGAGGATAAAATTATTCCCTCTATTCTTAATCCGATTAACTATATTTGGCATCCTAAGAAATTCATCATTGCATTGTCATCAACAACCTTTTGAAGTTCTAATGAACTAATTTTACCAATCGAGTGAAGGAATATAAGTAAAGATTATTCATTTTAAATAATGTTAAGATTTTCTATAAAAATTTTATTCTTATCTGCATTTTAAAATTCAGATTAAAAATTAATTATTGAATTAACAAGAGAAAAGCAATTTTTAACAATGATATTTTTAAATCTAATGTTATTTTATTTCAATGATGGATATATTGAAAATATGGATGATGATAGTTTATTATATACATGTTCTAAAGTAATATTTTCAAGTATTATCTTTAATAAACTTTTCCTGCCATTTATAGTAATAGCTCCATCATTTTCATAATTTGAAATTAATGAATTTTATGCATGAATTATGCTACAATTTCTGATGATACCTATCCCTTCCCCTTAAAAATTAATGTTAAATATAAAATTGCTTTCGGCTTAAATATAATTAAAAAATCCTTTATTAATTGTAAATTTGGTAGCAAACACTGAAAAAATACCTCCAACATTTGATATCTGAAAAGATTATTAAATTGCATAAGAAATTTCATTCTCATTATATTCCCCTAAGAATAGAACATCATAATATTTTATCCAAAATTCTTTTTTTAGCCAATTATGATTTAAGACTGTAATATTTTCTAATTAGACTTCCTCTGAGGATATTGAAAAAAATGATTAGGAAGAATTTGTCATAGAATTATAAATGCATAAAATGTTTTTCAGATTTATAATGCTTTATTTTGTATCAAAATACATCAAGCTGGCTTAAGTTTAAGAGGGATCTGTTTAATATTAATGGAAAATATTTTCTTCAAAAGTTAAATTAGAGATTGTTATATTTAAAGAGTTTTTTGAATAAAATTCCATTAAAGAAAAAAGTATACCTAAATTCTACTTTAATAGAATGTTTCCCTTCATAATAGAATTTTTTATATATATAAATTCATTTTAATTAGATGTATTCAAAGGATTAGAATAAACTGATATTAATGATAAATCTACACTAAATTAACTTTTAACGAGTATATTCTGTATAATAATTCTATTAAACCCAAAAATTTATAATAATTGTGACTGAGGAATACAAATTCTTAAGCAATCAAATTAATAAGGCACTTTATATTCCTGAAGTAAATTTTCATATACTAAATTATCAATTTGTATATAAGGTATATCTAATAAATTAAAAAAATGATAATTTGTAGTATTTTTTAGAAAAATATTTTTAATTAATAAAGTAAAACAGTTTATTGTGATTAGGACATTGTCGTCTCCACAAGAAGGATTATTATCTTCAAAATGAAAATTTAATAATAAAAAGTCAATATTATTAAATAATTATTTTTGTTATGTAATAAATAATGAACAATTTGTTAAATGGTTTTTTTTTACATATAAGTTTTTCATCTAAACTTCTGTTATTGATTGTATAGATTAGATTTATGCAAATAATTAAAGCTAAAGAAAATAATTATCAATTATTTTTATGTCATTACAATAAAAGTTGTAATTAAACAATATAAATTTAGAATTTAAAATCTAATTATTGATAATTGATAAATTATTAATATTTAAAATGGTTGTGTCAGGACTATATATAAGTTTTGAATTTTAGAATAAACAATTTGATATTACTAATTCATTTAAGAATACATTAGATATACTATTTTAATCCATTTTAAAAATAAAAATTGATGAATTTTCAAAGGTACAAGAATCAATTGTAAAATTCTTGATAAAAATGTTACTCTTTAAATTGTCAAAATAAAATAATGTTGAATTTATTATTCTACAATCCAAAAGTTGTATATTGTTAATTATAATATCTTCATTCAAACCTTAAAATAATATATCAAAAACTATTGAATTTTCAATACTTATATCCGAAATTGTCAAATTTTATATATTTAATTAATATAAGCTATCAGACTTAATAGATATTTATATAGGTTAGCTTTAATCTGTATAAAACTTTGTATTTAAAATGTAAAAATTAATTGATTGACCTCTATTTGTCAATATCATTTCCAGTTAATACAATATTACAAAAATAGTATTACTTATTACAATTTAATCATATGTTTAAACTTAAAAAATACTTTTTTTAAAAAAAGTTATAGGGTTTACACTACCATTAACAATTAATTCGGCTAACCTTATTGAAAATATATTTTCCTTAAAATAGTTTTTTAATATATATTCATTAGTGTAAAATTCGCAATTTTGTTCTAAATTTATTTTGATAGTGATGTATTTGAGTCCAATTTCATTTAAATATTTATAAATATATTCAGCATCATTTATAATTTCTATTTAATTGCATTTTATATCATTCTAAGTTAGTGAATGTAATATTACATATATAATTTCTAATTTATAGTTACAATTGTCTTAATAACAATATTAAGCAATCGCTAGGGTTGGATCAATATGAATTTTGCTGTCAAATGGAACTTTTTAGATGCACCTTTAAGTATAAATTGAGTTTTCTGCATCTTATATAAAATAAGGATTTATTTGCTATTATAATTATTTCTCATACATTAATTTCATCAGTAGATCTTTTCTAGCAAACTTAACATAATGAAGGGCATTCTATGCATTATCTATCAGCTTATACTCTAATTATTTCTTTATAATAATTTCTCTTGCATTAAGAACAATAAAATGTGGCAGATGGTGCAATTTTTTCTGATTCGCACACTGAACAAAATTGATCACAATATTGTTAACATTGATTATCTAAAATTCGATATCCTTGAAGACACTCAATTACTATTGAGTATGATCTAGATACATCATAATTTATTCTAGTTTTAGGTGGCAAGAATTAAATTACAAAACCTTGAAATTGCCATTTCCCTGGTTCTAATAAATTATCTTATTAGCATTATTTTGAATTTAAAATAGGACAAATACTACAAACTCCTGTTATAGAAGACACAATATAACCATCCTCACAAATTATACATTTTATTGTTGTTTATATAGTTTTGATACATTGTTTACAATGTAGAATAAGGTTTTGGCAATTTATTTTTTCTAAAGATATAGAGAAATCATTTGATAGTGTGCAAATTTCTTTATCATCAAGATTAATATAAGATCTTAGGCAATTTTATTATATTGGTTTTTAGTTGATACAAGTTGATGTTTTAAATTCAAAGATAAACCCTTCTCTACACTAAGCGCATCCTATTTTTATCTCTTCATCATTAAGTGAAAAAATTTCTAAATATTCAAGTGTAGATTTTGTTGGATCACTAGCTAAATAATCAAAACAATATAAACAATTTTCTAGTTTACAACTTACACACTTCTTATAAAAATTTAAATAATTTGGAGCATAACAAGTATTATTGGCAAAACTAGCATTTGCAGTCCTATCTACACATAATAGATTTGTTGGTAATATTGCACATCTATCACATTTATCGAAACAAAAATAACAATTATCAGTTATTGATTAACTGGAAGAACAGAAATTTTTGAATATTAATGATGCTTCAATTAAATCGTATGGTGCTTTCAAATTTAAATCACAATTAGGACAGTATGTTAATTCATCTCCTGTGAATACGTATTATAAATTTTCATATGAAAAATTTTTAGCAACACTTCCATTTTAATGAACAAGGTAGGATGTTTAACAAAAGAGAGTATTAATCCATGTTTTTGGATTTAAAATACATTCTAAACATGTTATCATATCATTTTTAATTATTGATGGACTAAAATATAATAAATAAATTATACCATTGATAACAATCATTATCAATTTCAAAAAAACCATACTGACATAATTTTTGAAATTACTAGACTTCAATCTTATTTAGTTATAATGTTTAATAATTAACGCATTCATTATTCTAATCAATAGTTCCATATTCACAAATACAAACTTTAAATTCTGATATATATCTTCTATTTGAAAATTCATAACATGATAAGCAATCATCTTTTGTTGGACCATCACATTCTTTGCATGTTGGATGACAACCTTTTTACAGATTATTAAAATCAGGACAATTAAATATTTAAAATCCTGCAAGTTGAATATTTAAATAATCAGATTTTGATTAAAAAATATTTCCATATAACAATTTTAATTAAACCATTTAGAATTAAACTACCTCTAAAGTAAAACTTAATTTTTCTTAATTATATCCCTAATAAAATGTAATAGTAATTGAAATAAATTTATCTGATTTTTCAACAAGAAGATAATGCCACAATTAAATATCATATGTCACATCAAATATTATTTTCTTTAAATAAGGATTAGTTGAAAAATCAATATTTATAACAGGTAAGGTATAGCTATAAGTAGTTACAATTATTTAATTTATTTAAGTAGATAATTAGTAAAATAATTAAAATGCACATAAATTTTCTTAAATTAATTAAGGATGTTAAAAATTACCCATTAATTTAAATAACTAAAACTAAAATTCATTGGAAATTTTATGAATTTCTAAAATTTTTATCCATCCTGCTAATAAAAATTATTAACAATTAGTATTTTAGGATAAAAATTCATAATTATCTTAATTTTAGATGTTAACATCTGGTAAATCTGTTATTTAATTATTTTTGCAATTACATTGTTTATAATTCCTTGATTAGATTAATTCCAAAAAATCATCAGGTATATCATAATAACAACTTTAAAGATAATATATTTCTCCTGGAAAATATGATAGTAACTTATTTTCAAATAAATAAAATTTTGATGTCTGTTCTACTTTAAAATCTCCACCAATAATTTAAATAAAAATATTTTCTTTAAATGGAAACCTAATATATATATCTTTGGAAAATATTTAATTTAATGATTATTCCTTAATATATATGGTTACTCTTTTTTCTAAAGGACTTGCCAAGAATCCATTGAAATACCAAACACCTTCATAAGAAATTAAATCTATTGAAATTTATTCAGTTGTAACTCTATTATCACTATCTAAAAATTAAAAGTATTTCTTAACAATTTTTTCCTCAAAATTTATGCATTCAAAGTATAAAAAATATAAATTGTTTTCTTCCTTTTCTTGAATTCTAAATGAATGAAAGCAGCTACTATCAAGTATTCCATATTCTCCTGTTTATACAATATTACTCAAAGGAACATATTTACTCCAAACTCCAAAACACGCACTTTATTCCTCGATATTAGATTATCTTATTTAAAATTATTTATATGGGTAATTTTGCGGTAAAATTGAAATGCTCCAGCAAAAATATGTTTGAATTTCAAAGCATATTACTATCAAAAAAGGAAAAGATATAGTTTACTTCATTCTATTTATTAAAATTATTTGTGATTAATAAATGATTAAAAACTTAATTTTTGCTATCTATTAATTTGTAGCACAAAATCAAAAAAACTTAATTAATTATGGCAGCATCCAGAATTAGCAATATTGACATGAGGTAAATTTCAAAAGACAAAATAATAAAAGTTTTCATATTCTAGCATAAATACAAAAATTCCAATAAATATTAATTTTTAGAATATTTAATAAATAATTTATAGAGAAGGGCAGAACAATAATTCTGTAATGATATTAAAGTTTGGAATATAAATATCCATTAATCCTGAGTGTTATTTAAGAGAAAGCAAGGTAAATTAATTGATGATAATTTTGAATTTACACTAACACCGACTCAAATTATATAAATTTTGAATTATATTATTAATTTTTTTTGATCAATTATTTAATTTTACTCAAATATTTCTTTTTGTAATAAGAAAAATTTTTATAGAAAAAGGAGTTTTATGAAGCAGATATATAATAAATTTGAAATTTAATTAATAGATACATTATTATTATAATTAAAAATAATATCAACTAAATTTTCAGTTTAAAAATTGAAACATAATAAATTCGGAAATACTCAATTGAGAAGTCTGATTTTGGGATTTCAATTATATTCTTTTGAAAAACATTTGTATTTTAATATTTCTTTACATCAATTATAAACTATATATTTGACATTAGTAGATATGTTCTATTAGAATTTAAAATTAAAAAATTAACTTTTTAAGCATTGATACAATTTAGAAGATACTTGAAATGGAGCAAAATTATATTATTATCTAAAAATCTCATTATTTTGATCATGATTTAAATATTATTTTTTAAGTTCAATTCTAGATATTATTAATATATATATCTACTACTTGATGAGTAAACTCAATAAACATTATGTTAATTCTTGTCTAGTGTTGTTATGCATAAAAATGGAGAAATTCTTGTAATAAGTATTAAATTTTGGATCAAATTATCTTTTTTGTATCCACAAAAAGAACTATTTTTATTTAATTTTAATATCATTATTGGATTTTAATTTAAACCAGAATATTATGGAGCTTTATGAATAGAGAGAAGAAAAAAAACAATTCTTATAATTTATTTGGATATTAAAATTCTATTTCCCTTCTGCTTCATTTATGTATTACAACCAGTCCAAATGTAAAACTCTATTTTTTAGTTTTTGTTTATTCATTTGAAATTAAGTTAATTAATAAAAAGACTCTATTTCTTGTTTTTATTTAAATCCTTTGTTAAAGTGATAAAATAGAACTGAAATTTATAATATTTATTTAGATAATCTTTAAATAAAGTATTAATTGTAAATATTCTAAGTTAGAACAGTTTTAATTTGCTGATGAGATAGCCATACTTATATATATATATAAGGATACTCGTTTTCAAAGAGATTTTAAAGTATAATCTTATTATTGCAAACTTAATAATGTCAAAGCTTGGAATATTTTTATTTCACAATCATATGAAGCTTAGTGATATCATGAATTAACTTGCAATCTAAGAATAAAAATAATTAGGTTTATTGATCAGAATATAAACAAAATAGCACATTCACACACTAAAAATTATTATTAAAAAAATGATCTTGAAGATCAAATAGATATATCAAAAATTTCTTTAGAATTAATAATATCATATATGGTAATTAAGATAAATATAAGGATTTGATCTTCTTCCTAATATATATTATAAGATTATTCAAATTATATTCCTAATTAGAAAATTGCATAATTGTAATTTATTCTCTTATCATTTAAGTAATTACCATTTAAAATTATTTTAATCAGAATTTATAATTTAATTAAGAATAATATAATTAAAAAAAACTATTACAATTATTGAAAATTTAGATTTTATTTGTGTTTTAATTATATGTTTAGGATTCAAATAGTTTATTTTTTAAAAACTTTATACCATAAATTGAAATTATTAGATTGCATAATTTCTTTAGCTCAGAGTTAATAAATTCTACAAGATTTGAATATCATCTTAGAAAAAGACTAATTTCAATTTATTAATTAAATTGACCTCTTTAATGTCATAAATTTATTTTTAATGATTTCCTTCACCTTCTATAATCCAAATCTATTAGTAAAAGATTTTATACTTCAATTTTCTAAAAACTTAATCACATATAATTCATAACTTTTCTCTCAGTATTAAAATTAAATCAACATTAACACTTAAATTTAGATTTACCTAATCAAAGAGGAATCTTCCAAATCTATTTAGATCATTTACAATCTGAGCTTTTAGAGGATTCAAAATTTGAAGAAAAAAAATTCAAAAGGCCCTTTTTAGTATTATATANTACAACCAGTCCAAATGTAAAACTCTATTTTTTAGTTTTTGTTTATTCATTTGAAATTAAGTTAATTAATAAAAAGACTCTATTTCTTGTTTTTATTTAAATCCTTTGTTAAAGTGATAAAATAGAACTGAAATTTATAATATTTATTTAGATAATCTTTAAATAAAGTATTAATTGTAAATATTCTAAGTTAGAACAGTTTTAATTTGCTGATGAGATAGCCATACTTATATATATATATAAGGATACTCGTTTTCAAAGAGATTTTAAAGTATAATCTTATTATTGCAAACTTAATAATGTCAAAGCTTGGAATATTTTTATTTCACAATCATATGAAGCTTAGTGATATCATGAATTAACTTGCAATCTAAGAATAAAAATAATTAGGTTTATTGATCAGAATATAAACAAAATAGCACATTCACACACTAAAAATTATTATTAAAAAAATGATCTTGAAGATCAAATAGATATATCAAAAATTTCTTTAGAATTAATAATATCATATATGGTAATTAAGATAAATATAAGGATTTGATCTTCTTCCTAATATATATTATAAGATTATTCAAATTATATTCCTAATTAGAAAATTGCATAATTGTAATTTATTCTCTTATCATTTAAGTAATTACCATTTAAAATTATTTTAATCAGAATTTATAATTTAATTAAGAATAATATAATTAAAAAAAACTATTACAATTATTGAAAATTTAGATTTTATTTGTGTTTTAATTATATGTTTAGGATTCAAATAGTTTATTTTTTAAAAACTTTATACCATAAATTGAAATTATTAGATTGCATAATTTCTTTAGCTCAGAGTTAATAAATTCTACAAGATTTGAATATCATCTTAGAAAAAGACTAATTTCAATTTATTAATTAAATTGACCTCTTTAATGTCATAAATTTATTTTTAATGATTTCCTTCACCTTCTATAATCCAAATCTATTAGTAAAAGATTTTATACTTCAATTTTCTAAAAACTTAATCACATATAATTCATAACTTTTCTCTCAGTATTAAAATTAAATCAACATTAACACTTAAATTTAGATTTACCTAATCAAAGAGGAATCTTCCAAATCTATTTAGATCATTTACAATCTGAGCTTTTAGAGGATTCAAAATTTGAAGAAAAAAAATTCAAAAGGCCCTTTTTAGTATTATATACACCTATTATTATTGATTTCACCTAAAAGAATCTGTAATTCAAACTTGTCTAACACTATTTCAAAAGAGTTTAAAATAATCAGAATACTATAAAATATTATTTTTGGCATAAATTCTTAAATATTAAACAGAGTATATTTTATATAAAGAAATAACGACAGAAGGATTGAATTTTAAAATTAATCTCTAAGATATGGAAACCATTTTATCAAATTCAATAGAATCTATTGCAATTCTCAATTTTTAAAGATTAATTGAATTTAATATTCTCCAAGAATAATATAGCATTAAGAGTTTATTTTATATTCTAGATAAACTTTAAAAGACTTTGACTGAATTCCCAATTGGTAATTTAAATAAAAAATGGAAAACTATAGATATATACTTTATATCGTAAGGATAAATTGTCTCCTGTTTCTGATTCTGATGAATGGCAAGATAAATATATTATTTAAAGTAAAATAAGACAATTATTGTAATTTTTTTCTAAAATAACGCATCTTCAAATAAAGAGAATTACTATTGTAATGGCCAGGAATAGGAAATAGAGCTGATCGATTGGAGGATAAATTGATAAATTTCTTCTAGACTAATTCTCAAGTTGTAGATATAGAATAATTGATTAGATAATTAGAAACAGCTGCTCACCTTAGAAAACTAAATATTTGATAATTTGAATATGTCTGAAGAATTTTTTTAATTCTTCTTTTATAGATTTGTGCTGCTAATCACCACAATTAACCATTAATCAAAATAATAATTTAAAGATTTTAAGATCTAGATTGCTAGGTCTTTAGCACTAATCATTTAGTAATTTAGTAGTGTAAATTCAGGAGAAATAATAACAAATGTTTATAAATTATTAAGTAAAAAATAGTAATATGAGGATAATATACAATTATGATATCAAATTTAATCGCGAGTTTTTAAACATGCTTATAAATCAAACTCTAGATAATCAAATTATTCTATACAAACTAAGGTCAAAGATTTTGATATAAAGAAATAAAATTTTGAAAATTAACTAATATTAAAATATCTTCTTCTTAAAGATAATACTCTTAACTTGAACTTTGTTCTTCTTCTCCAGGCTAATAATCAAAAGTTTAATCCTCTTCATTTTGACCTTAAGGTTATTAGATAAATTTTACTGTATATATTTGTAGAGGAAATCTTTTAAAACAGGATTTAAGTTGAATTGGATTTATTATGTAATCGTTATCAAGTTAGCTTCTTAATACCGTAACTATGGTTATTGGAATTATTGGAATTAATTGATGAAGGTATTCATTATAGTATTGTGTCCAGTGTAAAATTAGNAACAGAGTATATTTTATATAAAGAAATAACGACAGAAGGATTGAATTTTAAAATTAATCTCTAAGATATGGAAACCATTTTATCAAATTCAATAGAATCTATTGCAATTCTCAATTTTTAAAGATTAATTGAATTTAATATTCTCCAAGAATAATATAGCATTAAGAGTTTATTTTATATTCTAGATAAACTTTAAAAGACTTTGACTGAATTCCCAATTGGTAATTTAAATAAAAAATGGAAAACTATAGATATATACTTTATATCGTAAGGATAAATTGTCTCCTGTTTCTGATTCTGATGAATGGCAAGATAAATATATTATTTAAAGTAAAATAAGACAATTATTGTAATTTTTTTCTAAAATAACGCATCTTCAAATAAAGAGAATTACTATTGTAATGGCCAGGAATAGGAAATAGAGCTGATCGATTGGAGGATAAATTGATAAATTTCTTCTAGACTAATTCTCAAGTTGTAGATATAGAATAATTGATTAGATAATTAGAAACAGCTGCTCACCTTAGAAAACTAAATATTTGATAATTTGAATATGTCTGAAGAATTTTTTTAATTCTTCTTTTATAGATTTGTGCTGCTAATCACCACAATTAACCATTAATCAAAATAATAATTTAAAGATTTTAAGATCTAGATTGCTAGGTCTTTAGCACTAATCATTTAGTAATTTAGTAGTGTAAATTCAGGAGAAATAATAACAAATGTTTATAAATTATTAAGTAAAAAATAGTAATATGAGGATAATATACAATTATGATATCAAATTTAATCGCGAGTTTTTAAACATGCTTATAAATCAAACTCTAGATAATCAAATTATTCTATACAAACTAAGGTCAAAGATTTTGATATAAAGAAATAAAATTTTGAAAATTAACTAATATTAAAATATCTTCTTCTTAAAGATAATACTCTTAACTTGAACTTTGTTCTTCTTCTCCAGGCTAATAATCAAAAGTTTAATCCTCTTCATTTTGACCTTAAGGTTATTAGATAAATTTTACTGTATATATTTGTAGAGGAAATCTTTTAAAACAGGATTTAAGTTGAATTGGATTTATTATGTAATCGTTATCAAGTTAGCTTCTTAATACCGTAACTATGGTTATTGGAATTATTGGAATTAATTGATGAAGGTATTCATTATAGTATTGTGTCCAGTGTAAAATTAGTACAAATAATTAGAAAATATTAGTAATTTAACATAAATTGAATAGAAAGAAGTATTAAATTAAATCCTTATTGAAGTATTGTTAAAAAGTAAATATGAAAAGAAAGAGAATTATACAATTTAAATGTGTTCAATAAAATGATCTAAATTAATTAATTTATTTATTCTCAAATTCTATCATGAAATAAGAATTTTGTTTGATCGAGGGACATGATAAAGAGGAGCTAAATTATATATGTAATGAATTGTAATGTATTGACCTTAAAAATAATAAACTCCTCTGTTAAAAATGTTTGTGTTAACATAGAGGGGTGAATTATACTGTATTAAGAGGGATGGCCATTAATAATTACAATCAATACATCTAAATTTTGTAAAGTGATATAGATGAAAATGAGAGCTTAAAAAAAAGTGTGGAATAATCAATTAAAGAGATATAAGGAAAGATCATTAAAATGCTTTCTGATTTGTAAAAAAGTATTTTTACTTTTGTTGATCAATAAAGTTAAAAATTAAATATCAATAAAACTAAAGCATAATAGTTAATGCAAGATTCAAATCCTTAACTTGATATTTATATATTTTTTGCTAAGTTTTCAGATAAAAAAGCACAAGGGAAACAAGAAATTACAAAAAAACAAGTTAAGAAAATTATTAATGATTTAGTTGATGATCTCAATTAAAAATTAGAATATCTCAAGTAATAGGATATTAATGAAAATAAAATTATTGATATTGAATTGCAATCATTTCAAATAGAATCAATTTTTTAGCCAAAACTTCCTTACAGCTATTGCAATCAGCATTTCACAACTAAATCTTCAATATGTATAGACATTAATTGCTTATAATCAAGCGACTTAGACTATCATTGTTTAAGATGTTGCAAGACTACTCATGTAGAACACTTTAAAAATGATTTATTAGAGGAATATGATAAATTGAAAAAAGAATAGAAAATAAAATAAAATTTTTTAGTTAATGAAAAACAAAAAATTAAAGAAAATATTTAAAAATTGGTTAATGACTAGATAATTTAGTTAAAAATTGAGCAGAAAGAATAGTATTTGAAATATGAAACTAAAATTGAAAATATCAAGAGTCTTTAATAATAATTTGAAATTAATTTGTCAGTTTAAGATACTAAATATGTGTTTGGCGATTTACTTTTATAATTCATTACCACTAAAGAAGAAGAACTATAATTGTAACTAAATCAAGTACAAAAAAATTTGGAAGAAAAGCTTAAATTTTGTAAAAAGTAAGATAAGTAAACATTCCTAGAAGAATGCAAATTACTATAAATAAAATAAGATGAAGTTTTCAAACTTTAAAAAACTGTACAAGAATTATAATTCATAGTTGATTAAAAGGACTAACTGTTAAAAGCTCAATCTTCAGAAAATATACTTAATTTGATATATACAAATACATAACAAATTATCACAGAAAAGGATAAATAAATAAAAATTACTGAATTGAAAATCGAGGACAGCTTATAATAATAATAATAATAATAATAATTAATATTATAATTATAATAATTATAATAATAATAATAATAAGTATTGTAATAATAGAAAGTAATATAGAAATAGTAATAAGTGAAATAATAATAAAACCCTTTATAATAGTAAACATAAGTAGTAGCACCTTCAAAGTAATTTTCTCAAGATCATTCTTTCACCAAAAGAAAAATAGGATGAGAATTTATTAAAATTTATTATATTTCACAATTATAAATAATTTTATTTTAGATAAATATAGACTGCAGATTACGATGTAAATAATTGGATTATGAATTTATTTGATTAGATAATGTTGATATATCATTTAAAGAGATTAAAAATTGATTCATATATAAATATTCAAGAACTCTAGGTTTTTCTTAAAATATCCATCATTTTAATTAAGTCTTCTATTTATTAGTTCCATAATACTTATTATTCTTTGTTTTGAGTATTTAATTCAGAAATTTAAGTAACCAAGACATCATTATTTTTTCTTAATTATAAATTCTCTTATTTCAGCTAATGTATTAGTTCTTAATTAATTTAATATTTTCCTAAGGATTCTGAGATTTTCTCAATTTGCATTTGCATTTACTCTTTTTATTATTTTAATTTGACTTTTTGCTTTTCACTATCCATGAGCTTATCCTCTAATTCATTTATAATTTTTTTGCTAAAATCATCCTTAGCATTGCTATTTCTTAATGTAAATATTTGTTATTCAGCTTGATTCAATTTATTTTGCAATTCTTCAATTTAGGCTCCTGTAAACCCAGATGCACTTAGAGATTATAAATTTTCAGCATAATCTACTAAAATAGTCTTAATCTAATCATTTAACTATGATTGTAATATGTTGCTTTTAAATAAGGTTTAGAATTAGGATGTAAAAAAATCAAGTAATTATGAAAAAGTTTATGGTTTGAGAAACTTCTTATTTCCTGAGTTTGGTAAAGATTATTAGGTTGCTTTCTTGCCTGAGGATTAAATTGACTATTTTAAACTCTTAGTATTTAGAGTTTGAGGTGAATTCTTATAGATGTTATTAACAATTTTTTATTCTTGAGAGCTTTCTGAGGATGATGAGGAATCTCTTTCTTTTTTTTTTAATTTCTATTCACTATATCTAGAAGCACTTTAGGTAGTCTTTTTCCATTTTTCTATCAATGAATCCATAGGTTTTCCTTAATAATTTATTATTTAAATTGTAACGACCCATAAATAGTATTAAATATATAGATTTAGATTTCTTAAGGTTAACAATCATTTTTTAGAAAAATTTTGATTTACAAATTATTGCCTAAAAGTTTAAAATATATTTTATTTCAATTGTTGTTGAATTTTTATTAACTAATAAATATTATTTATGGAATAATTTAAGTGTGGAAATAATATTAAGAAGTTCTGTATACAAGGATGATTGTCAATAAATGAAAAACTATTGCAAATGCTTTTTTTTATTATTACTTTAAATTAATATTTAAATTTATCAGCTATAATGGATTACATTTACTAATTTAATTCAATATTTTTTGAAATATTAAAATACATAAAAATTCGAATATTGTTTACATAACAATAATATATGTAGTTATTGTATTTAATCATTTTTTTAAAGTATTTGGCCTCTTGATCTTAGTGCATTTGGGACATTCCATGTGTTTCTTAAAATCACTTACATAAGTCATTTATGTACCACATTAGGGACATACAGTACTTTTTTACGGTACAAAATCCTTCTTAACTTACTTTTATTAAATTTACTCCTTTTAGTCATTATCTTCAATTAAAATGAGATCATTTATCTTATTTTTAATTTGTTATTACTCAAAAAGATTTAATGAGTAATTTTGCTTGATCTTTAATTGTTATATTTGTTGAAAATTATCTTTAAGCTGATCTAACTCTTTTTATTTAGATAAGGTATATATATTCAATTCACTCTTTAATGTTTAATATTGATTTGATAACTTTTCTATATTTTGAATTACTTTTTGAAATTAATCAGTTTGATTCTACTTAAATTATTTTAATTTCAAATTGTAATCTGCTATTAAATTATTAAAGTATGATTCAAAAAATGAAAGGTATTAATCTTTCCATAGTTTAAGATTCTTTAAATTGTCATCCTCATATGGATTATTTATTTCCTAATTAATTAATATTAGATATAAACTTAAATAATTTGATTTTTTAAAGTCTCTAATTCATTATTAAACTAATTGAATTTTTATTAGCATTCTTGTTCAACATCCTAATATTTTTTTATTTATGATTAAGTTTTATTCTTATTGTGTTGCATAGTGTGATTTGGTATACATTCAACGCATAAAGGTTCACAATGCCATTAAGAGATACAACAAATCAAAGTTGCCTCTATTTTGTGTTCTTAACAAATATATTTTTAATTGTCAATCATATTTTATATTAATAATATTTATTATGTTAAGAAATTTGTAATATTATAAAAAACATAATTTATTATTTATTTATGATATTCTCTTAAGTATTTAGTTACATAAAATAGTGTACTAATATGTTGATAAGTCAAGCATAAAAACTCCACAAGAGGAATGGGACCAATTCATTTAAATTGATATTTAATAGAATAAATTAATTTATCATTTTCAATATATGGTTCCAAAATTTAGATTAAAGAATTATAAAAGTAGGGTGGAATTAATTATTTTTTCATGGATTACTAAAGAGAGAAATTTGATTATTTTATTTTTTTTCATTATTTTTAAATTAAAGTTGTGAAACTTGAATAGGAAGGAATGTAGGTTAATTTCATTTAACTGTGGGATTAAATTGGGAGAATTTCAAATTTTAATTGAAAGAATTATTGTTTATTTTATCCTATCGTTTAATATTTTGCATAAATGAAGGAAAGAGTATAAGAAAAAATTGATTTCTAAGATTTATTATTCTATATAATATTTTTATCAAAAATTATATTTATGATTGAATTAAAATTAACACTGGTACAAATATATGATCATTTTATATTAATTTTTCAAAAAAAAATATATCTAATAGAATATTTTTTTATCATAAAGTTGTGAAGATCTTCCTCTAAATTTATTATTAATATTTCTTAATTTATGTTAGTTTATCCACCAAAAGGAGGAGTCAATAGGGGCTAAATAATACCGTTGAAATGCTGCTGCCCCCCTGATTGTTAATGCAAATCTTCAGAAGTACGAGATTGGCATCATAAAGAATGTTCTGAGTAATCTTTTATCAGTTAATATGGTGATATATTTTGTAAAAATCACTTAAACAAATGTGGTGGGTATTTCATTAAAGATGCTTCTTTTTAATGCGCTGCATCTAGATAAGCCAACACTTGGAATTAATTTAGAGCAGCTTCATAATTTTTAATGGCATTAGCCTAAGGTGTCCAAGCTGCTGAAATTACCCTTGTTTAAGGCAATGCAGTAGTCAACTTTATAGCTAGTTTAAATTCAGAAGTAGTAAGGAGATGGCATTAATGAATTTATTATCAAATAATGAATTAAACTATATTATTATTACTATAAGTAGTAAACATATAAGTATATTATAAATTATCCAAAGGATATTATAAAATAATTGTGTTCATCTTATTAAATTATAAAATCTTTTCTTATTTTTTGTTTATTATTTCTAGAAAAAAGAATTAATATCAAATAATTAATTCTCTTACTTTTATTCTACTTAAATCTATTAAATAAATTTATAATAAAAAATTATAAATTGAAAAATAACTCAATCAATCTATAATTATTTCATTGTTCTTAATTTATATATAAATCATAATAGAATATAAAAAAATAAAGTTGAAAAAGTAAAAAAATTAAATGTAAACTACATTATTGTATTGAATACGATAAGGTTTTAAAATAAATTTCAATTATTTAATCATATATATTATTTATATATATTTGTATTATCAAAAATTAAAGTCTTAATTATTTTCAACAACAATTAATTTTTATCATAAAAACTATTTTCCAATTTAGTATTTTTTTGTTATTTATTTATTAAGTAGAATTTCAAAACAATCTTAACATAGATTTTGTTGAATTTTTCTGGATACAATAGATATATTTAAAAGTAGAATAAGTAAACATTATTGAAATAAATGATAATATATATTTGTATCTATGAATATCAGTCATAAGTATTTTTTATATTTAATAATAAAACAGATGAAACATCATTACGAAAGTGATGAAGATGATGAAGAATTGAAAGTAATGGATTTCAAAATTATTAGATTGGAGATGTTATTTAAGGAAGATTCAGTATAAGTTAGAAAATTGGAGAGGGCTCTTTCGGGTAGGTTTATAAAGTGATAGATCAGAAAAGTGGGGATTAGGTGATGGCAATGAAAGTAGAAGTTGAGGAGGAAGATTATAGTATGTTGGAGAAGGAAATCAAAGTATTGATCGAATTGAGGTAGAGAGTAGGATGATAAATATTAGAAAAAAAACTGGCTTCCCTTAAATAAAGTTTTATGGTTAAGAAAAGAGATTCACATATTGTATAATGACAATGCTAGGAAAGAATTTAGAATCTGTAGTAAGAAAATGTGGAGGCAATTTTGATTTGGGGACATCATTAAAGATCGCAATACAAGTAGGTCAACGATACAATATATAGTTAATAGATGATAGATAGAATTGAAACCCTCCATAATTGTCGCTTTTTGCATAGAGACATTAAACCTGATAATTTTGTACTTGAAGCAGGCCCATCACCTAAAGTGATTTATCTAATTGATTTTGGACTTTCAAAACACTATATTGTAATTAGATTTAACAAATATAGAATTCAAAAGGGGATCACATTTAATATATTAAGAAAGCAGGTTTGATTGGTACTGCCAGATATGCTAGCATTAGTGCTCATGATGAAATGGAATAATCAAGAAAAGATGATTTAGAAAGTATTGGATATGTATTAATATATTTGGCAAGTGGTACTCTACCATGGATGAATCTATAGATTGAATAGAAGGATTTAAAATATGCAAAAATCCATTATATGAAGAAATCAATCAAACCAGAGGTATTATGTGCCAAATTGCCAAGAGTATTTTATTTCATTAATAAAATAGTGTTTCACAAAGTTCATGCAAGATGTAAGAGGTTATGAATTTAAATAATAACCAAATTATTAATTATTGAAGAGCTATTTTTAAGAGGAATTGGAGTAGATTCAAAAGGAACGGAAAGGATAATTTTAATATGATTGGGAGAAACTTCCTGAATACTAATAAAAAAAAAAGCATCTTACAGTTCATATAATGTAATAAAGTAGCAAAGAGGAAAAAGTTAATTTAGTTAAATAGAAGGAACCACCTAAAGCAGTTCCTTAGACTTTCGAATAAATTATGCAAGATACAAAGAAAAAGAAAAGTACTAAAAAAACAATTAGTCATAAAACAAAAAAGAAAGATCCTATTATGATAAATATAGCAGAACCTGAAATTCCTACTTAAATGCCTTCTTTCGGAATCTTAAATCTAAAACCATATCCATAATAAAATTCATTTTTGCAAATACCTTAATTAAACTCAAGTGGATTAATAGATTATTTACCTTCGTTGAATCCCTCGGTTGCCACATCCAAAATGAATAATTATCATCAAAGTGAAGATGTAGTCAGTGAAGGTAGATTGCCTATCTGGGAATTGGGAGATGGTTAAATTCCAGGATTTCAAAAAATGATAGGTTATGTAACCAAAGGGATTAAAAAACCAAATGCAGAATTTCAAAGGAAAAATAGAAAGGCTCATACATGTATGCATAATAAGTATTTTTAGAGATTGATACTATAAAAAAGATGTCTTAAAATTTAGTTTAACCTAAAACAATTTAAGGAGATGATGAAGGGATTCCTGAAGGATTAGATTGATTCTATAATATAGAATATAAAATATATATTTATGAAGAATTCCGTATGTTAATTCAACAACATCCATCATTTTTTGAGTTTGATTTCTTAGTGTCTTTAACATCTTTGATTTAGAGACCTTTCTTTTTCTTGCCTTTGCTTTCTTAAGCCTAGACTTTGATTGAGATGCCTAAGTTAATTTAATGTATACTTTCGCCTAAAGATCTAAATAATTCAGTAATTCCAATCCCAGCTTTGGCTGAAGTAAAGAAATGTTTTGCTCCAATCTTTTTGCAATATTCTTCGACTTCGTTTTTATCAATTTACATTTAATTTTTCATGTCACATTTATTTCCTGCAACAACAATTGAAATATCTTTAGTTCCAAATTGTCTTAACTCTTCTACCCATTTTTCTACCTATAAGTAGATTTGAATGTTGTACTTTAAGAAATGATTCTTTATAAGTGACATCATAAACAAGTACAGCTCCATATGCATCTCTATAATATACTGTGGTCAATGCATGAAATATTTCTTAACCGGCAGTGTCCTTTAGAAATTAAATATTTAAATACCCAGATTGCCAATTTAATGTCTTTACCACCTCCAAGGTCTACAACTTTATCAAAATATGTGGCATTGACTGATGATTCTTAATTCTCATTAAATTGATCTTAACAATATCTCAAAGTTAAACAAGTCTTTCCTACTCTGCCTAAAGATTAAATCAATATGACTCACCCTCTCCAAGCATCACAATCTTAATTGGTGTACTCATTCAATTTAATATTTATATATATAATCAAGTACTAAATAGTGGTGTAAGTTTTGCAAATTCCTTATAAAATAAATTACGTTCCTCTTTCTTTCCTCTCTTTTTCTTATTAAATTTAGCTTTCTCATAGAAGAATTTAGTTTCATTTTCACATGCATTGAATAGTCCGTTGATATCTTAAAGTATAGTCTATACAAATGAACTACTCTGACTAATGATATCATAAGTAATAGGACTAATTATTGTTAACTAGAAGTCCTCTTTTTCCAAATAAAAAAATGGACTATTAATGATTAATAAAATGAATACTTCTAGTCAAAGCCTTTATAAAATATTCCCATAGAATGAGGATTGAATTTGGTTCCATAAAATTCTAGAAATTTATATGTTGCCAATCCAATTGAATGAAATTCAGCGTTTTATTAATAATAGTACTCCAGAAAGGCCACAACTATTAGTACTAAACAGAACGATGAAATTCCACCTTTAGATTAATCATTTAATCCTCTCTTTTTAAGTAAACTTTTAAATACAAGAGTGATAGTTTTTAACTCTTAATATTCTTAGAGCCAATAGCAAGTGAGTTCTGTTGATGTCAATCCTTAATGTTATATGTGTCCAAAGAAACTAATATCTACTTAAATCAATTATGATTGGCAAACAAGATCTATATGAGGTAAGTTCATATTTCCATTTCTAAATGGAATACTAGGATCAACCCATAATTTTATAAGAGGTAAAGTATTTTATGTAGGATAGATAGGTCTAATATTAATAAATGAATATACTTTATACGTTTAATCCAATTCATTTTACATAAGAATTCAATTATAATATCCATTTTTTAGTTTAATAAATGAGTTTCCAGACCAGTGATTCCAATATCAATATCACTATCAGGGAGTGCCAATCTTGTTGCACATGATCCAAATAGAAATACACCAGCATCTTTAAATAATAATTAAATTGTGAATTGAATTCTGTTAAAAATTAGCTATCTAATTGGAAATTGTTAATCATTTTCTCTTCTTATTTAATCTATAAATTCTTTAATATCAAGATCTAATTTTTTGATCATTTATTAAAAGGATTGATTCATAAGATTTTCATCAATAAGATCTTCATTTTATTCAACCTTCTTAGGTAACACTAAATTCTTTCTAATTAACTTTTTCTTTTCAGGTGTACTTAAATTCTAATCATATTATTATTATTATTATAAATCTGATTATTTTTATTATATTTATTAATCTGATTATGTTAATTATTACTCTTATTATTACATTATATCTTATTATTATGATTATTATTGAATGTTATTCTTACTTATTTCCTCAATTTCCATTGAAATCTTATTATCTTTTATTTAAGATTATTGTTCTTATTATTCTATACTCTATTATTTATCTTTATTTGAACAAGTTTGATTAATATGATTAGGACATTTCTATTTTTTATTTTTAGTCACTATAATCCAATCTTCAGTGTCTTAATTATCATCAGTAATAACATCTAAATTTTCTTACTCTTTCTAAATAACAATAGGCAATTAATTCTATGTTGTTTATTGTACTAACTTTTTTTATTTATTTTATTTCTTCTTTTTCTTTAATTTCTATTATGATACTTATTGTGGTTGTAAATTTTAATCATTCTTTGTTAAACATTCTAATTCCTATAATATTGATTATTTATATGATTCTCTAATTATTTAAAGCACCAATTTTTCACAAACACTTTAAAGAGTTAAAGCATTATGTAATGGTAAATAGAATATAGATTCAATTTAATTATCATTAAACTTATTAAGAATGTTTTAAAGATTGATTGAATGATCCTTAATGAAATTAGAATATTATTAAAGAAGAATATTTTGATCTATTTTAATGACATTTTAAATACAATCAGTTACTTTTTTCCTTATATTATTTCCATTGTTTATCCAATATTATTAAATGCATTAATGATTAATGAAATTAATGTGTTTATAATAGAGCAAAGTTACTTACTTTTCAAATTCATTTATTATCCAATTAAGACAACTTTAAGGTTAAGTAGAATCAAACCAACTAGCATCTTGAACCTTTAACTACTTATTATTTTCAATAATCTTCAATTACTCTGTAAATGCCTTCCCATTAGAACAATCTCTCAACAAAGTGATTATTTCAATCATATCTCCTCTGATACAAATAGTATCAAATATTTCATCTTAATCTACAAGAGTAAGTTAAGATAATAGTTTCTAAGAAATAAAACTGATTTTGTACTTCTTCGAAATTATTTTTTTAATTGTATTCTGAGATTTAACATATTTATTAGATGGAATCCTTGAATTGAATTGATTAGTTTGAATTCAATTTGTATTAGGATTTCTGTACTAGTCGATCATGCAAATACATCTTTATGATAAATAGGCTGATGGATCTCTGACCAATAACTAATTGGTTATTACCATTATGCTTTTTCACCCTAAGTTATTCAATTATGTATATATACCAACTCATAAGACCAGAAAAATAGGATTGTGACATGATTTAGTTTTTTGGATATTTATTAATTAAATATTTACGCGATTTCATAAAAGATAATAGTTTATATAATCATCTTAAATAATCTGATCTTTATTTCTCTTTAAATTCTCTCAAGATCTCAGCTGCTTCCTTACTAATAAATGTCTCAGTATCATTAAACTAAGAAAATTTCATTGTAGGTTATCTATAACTATCTCTTTCATTTAATCTATTCAATATGGAATCTATTTATTAGATTTCTGTGGAATCACAAATTCCTTTGGTTTTCAATATTCCACTTAATATTTAGATTGCATCGATAGCTAATTATAGTTTTTCATCTGTATTATTTTTATTATTTTAAGCAGGAGTTTAGGATAATCTATTAATTTATTGTTAAGAAGGAGTTTATGGTTATTGGGGTATTGCATTATTTGAATGGGATTACTTATTTGTTGTATTAATAAATAATTAAGGTTAAGATTAGGATTTAATTTAACAACTATAATTAGTTTATCTTTCAACAGATGTAACTTATTTATCAATTTAAGATAATGATGAAGATTATTATTATTATTATTATTATTATTATTAATTATTCTATTATAATACATCCAATATTAAATTTGCTGAATCTCTTATTTATTTTATCTAATACAATTTATTACAATCATTACTTTATTTGATTTTAATTCATACATTATTTCCTTAAAATATGAATGTTCCTATATTTTCTCTTTTTATAATACAACCAGTGAATATAATATATCTAAAGCCATCTTCTTTACTTACCATTATTGATTCTATAATAACTATTATAAATGTGGAATGATTTCATCAGCAAAGATACTAAAATAAATTAATTATTATCTTACTCTGATTATTCTTCAACACTTAATATTATTGCAGCCATTCCTTCTAAGATTTCTACTTTCCCATTTTGTTGATTCAATAATGATATGAATTTCCGAAATAAAAACAAAGCATTTTGTTCTAAGATTTCGAATGATAAAAATTAGACTACTCTTGTTAAACATAAAGCATGTTATGCATTCTAATTTAAATGATTCATTAGTGGTTTCAAAATACTACTTAATACATCTCCATCAAAACAACAAAGTTTGACTATTTTTCCTATAATTTCAGCCACTTGAGTACAAACACAACTCATTGATTCAAAATCTTTAATTCTTTTTAATAAATGTGTGAATATCATAGGTAATTGAGGACTTAAATTTTCATTAGCACATTCAGCCAATAATCCAAATAATTTCAATTATTCTTTAACTACACTAATCTTATCTGATTTTGCTTCTATTAGTACTTAAACTATCATTTGATATTGATCACATTCAAGAAATATTTATCTGAATTAAGGACTTGCAATAGGTTTTTACAATAAGTATTATAGTTGTTATTTGTAATTTTTCATTCGTTATAATTTTAATTAAAAAGCCTCCATAATTTTATCAATATATTATAGTCCACTTCAGCTTAAATATATATCATGAATTTCTTAAATAAAATATTTGCAAGTTCACATAATAGAAGCTCTTTTTAAATTGAAGATGTTTCTGGTTCTGAAGAGGATCAAGATGAAATTCCAGAACACTAAGAAATTCCATAATTTAAGAAATAAAATATCCAACAATTATAGAATTACAATTCAAGAAAGAAACCATTACCTAAAATGGGTTAAGCTGATTTTTTAGCTAAATATGATGAAAATTTTGAAGATGTATTTGGAGATAAACCTGTATTTAATGATTAGCATAAAGGAAAAAAAAGAAGATAAGAAGAAGAAGATGATAATGATAATGAAAATGATAATGAGAAAAAAACATCAAAAAAAAAAACTTAAAGTAAAGAAAGGAAATAATAATCAAAAGAATAAAAGGAATCTTAAAAAGATAATAAGAAAACAATATCTAAAGAATAATAACCAATAATGGATTATAAAGATGTTCAATTAACTATAGATTATAAAGAATTTAATGATATGAAAGAATATAAAGAATTTAAAGAACCTATTGAACCAAAAATATAAAATAAACCAAATATAAGATTACCAAAATTCCCAAAATAAAGAAAAAGGATTGCTAATAATCATCTTTCAACATTAAGATCAAATTCTGATGGACGAGATAGTGTAAGTAATAAAGATAGAGAATCTATATAAAAAAATAATAAATATAATCCTAATGAAATTGCCTTACCTTAAACAACTCTACCAAAATCAGAAAAAAAATAAGATAAATCAAAAACCATGTTTTTTACATTTGGATTAAATAATAATAATGATGATAGTGATTAAGAAATACATTAGAAAATAAATAATTTATTTTAGGATTAAAAAGAAAAATAATAAGATCAAAATGAATAAAATTCTATTAATTAAATTTCAACAAAAAAGAAAAATCCAGAAAAAAAATAGAAAAATGAAGAAAAAAAAGAGAAAAATGAAAAAAGTGAAAAAAAATAACGAAAAGAAAAAAAAGAGAAGGAAAAATAAACAATTAATGGTTTTAATGACATTAAAGAAATATTGAGAAGTGTCAATAGTAAATAAAATAGTGAATAAAGAGAAACAAGGAAATTAAATAGTGAATAAAGAGAGAAAAAAAGAGACAAGAAAAGAGGGTAAAAGTAATTAAGAGAAAATGATGAAAAGATTATTACTAAATCACCTTCTCCTGAAATGAAACTCATTTAATATGAAACATAAAAAAGAGTTAAAAGAAGTTAAAAACGAGTAATAGAGGATTTGGAAATGTTAAATGTAGATGAATTATCATTAAATCCAAATATTGTAGAATGCAAACCAAATTTATATTTAGATTACGTTCCTGTATATGATTGATTGATATATAAACATAATATAATCGCCTAAATAATAAATAAATTAATTATAAGAATTTCTTAAATGANGATAATGATAATGAAAATGATAATGAGAAAAAAACATCAAAAAAAAAAACTTAAAGTAAAGAAAGGAAATAATAATCAAAAGAATAAAAGGAATCTTAAAAAGATAATAAGAAAACAATATCTAAAGAATAATAACCAATAATGGATTATAAAGATGTTCAATTAACTATAGATTATAAAGAATTTAATGATATGAAAGAATATAAAGAATTTAAAGAACCTATTGAACCAAAAATATAAAATAAACCAAATATAAGATTACCAAAATTCCCAAAATAAAGAAAAAGGATTGCTAATAATCATCTTTCAACATTAAGATCAAATTCTGATGGACGAGATAGTGTAAGTAATAAAGATAGAGAATCTATATAAAAAAATAATAAATATAATCCTAATGAAATTGCCTTACCTTAAACAACTCTACCAAAATCAGAAAAAAAATAAGATAAATCAAAAACCATGTTTTTTACATTTGGATTAAATAATAATAATGATGATAGTGATTAAGAAATACATTAGAAAATAAATAATTTATTTTAGGATTAAAAAGAAAAATAATAAGATCAAAATGAATAAAATTCTATTAATTAAATTTCAACAAAAAAGAAAAATCCAGAAAAAAAATAGAAAAATGAAGAAAAAAAAGAGAAAAATGAAAAAAGTGAAAAAAAATAACGAAAAGAAAAAAAAGAGAAGGAAAAATAAACAATTAATGGTTTTAATGACATTAAAGAAATATTGAGAAGTGTCAATAGTAAATAAAATAGTGAATAAAGAGAAACAAGGAAATTAAATAGTGAATAAAGAGAGAAAAAAAGAGACAAGAAAAGAGGGTAAAAGTAATTAAGAGAAAATGATGAAAAGATTATTACTAAATCACCTTCTCCTGAAATGAAACTCATTTAATATGAAACATAAAAAAGAGTTAAAAGAAGTTAAAAACGAGTAATAGAGGATTTGGAAATGTTAAATGTAGATGAATTATCATTAAATCCAAATATTGTAGAATGCAAACCAAATTTATATTTAGATTACGTTCCTGTATATGATTGATTGATATATAAACATAATATAATCGCCTAAATAATAAATAAATTAATTATAAGAATTTCTTAAATGAAGAATATTTGATCTATATTTACATGATCATTCAACAATAAACATTATAACATCAAAAATTACAATTAATAATTCCTTATCATTTTTCTATTCATTATTAAGAAAGAATCCTATTTAGCAAATACTATTTATTAAATTAAATTGATTGATTTATTAATAATTATTCAATAAAATGAAATAATAATTCAAAAGTATATTTAATTAATGATATTAATATTATAAAATAGAAATAGCATATGAAAAAAACATTGCAAGTACTCAAGGCTTAGAGTCTTAATTACAATTCTATTAGATCTGGCTTAAATTATAGAATGACCATAAGAGATAATGGGTAAAAGATGGGCCATATTTCTATTAACCTTAATAAATATCATAATACTTAATCTAACACTATACTAAAGAACCTATTATAAAATCAGGAGTACACAATATTGCGTGATTAAACCAAGATGATATTTGAAGGATCCTTTGATGCCTTAAAAGTCTTGACAGGTGTAACAACTTATTACCCAGATACAGGTTAATATAAATATAATATATTAAGGTTTATTAGTATATGATGTGTCCGCAAATAAGCTTGTTTTGCATTTAACAAAAGAGAATGTTTAATGTTAAGGAATAGTGTTGGGCTATGTTATGGATTAAGATGCTATAACTATCCTTGATTCTTTGAGGGCATCTACTATTCCTTTGTAAGCAAGATTAGAAAATACTTATAATTATTATCTAAAGAGAACCTTAAATGTGAGTCTGGCTGTGTCATTACTTGTATTTTATAATGCATTTACTGGATCTCAGAAATCAAAATTTGGTGTATTTGAACGTGACGATAAATCACCTTAATTGAATTCTAAATGAATTGCATTTAAGATTTAATAAATTATAAATATCTTCTTTAAATAGTTTGTTATTTATAATAATCAATACAATATTAACTTCATTTTAAAAGTAAATAATTCATTTTTTATAAACAATAATTGAAATTAGTTACATATTGAAATCTATTTAATGATTAAGATATATAATTATATTTTATTTTTTATAGAATTAATCTTAATTATCTTTAAAAAACTTTTATTTTCTATTACTCTTGAATAGATATAATATAATATTTGCCATTTTAAGTAATTTCATAACATCCCTCAAGATTAGTATTTTCATTGTCTTATGTTTTATGAAAATTTAGTCCTCTTAAACTTTTAGATCAATAATAAAAATAAATGTTTAATTATATGAAGTTGCAGAGAATCAGAAAAGTATATTTATCTTTTATAAGTTGATTAATCATTTATCTAAAATTTAGGCACTCAAAAACTTTCATAACCTTTATAGACTTAAGCTTTTTCAACCAATTATCTTCTTAAAGTTACTATAGGATCAAATAATTAAAATAATTTTTAAATTCTGCTAGATTTTCTCGTTTATACTGTATAATAAATTATAACTTATAGGAATAATGAGTATTTTGGTTATAGAATATTGTTATTTATTTGATTATTAGAATATCTTAATAAAGTCATCTATCGAACTATAAACGAATTCTAAAATTGATTTACTCACTTTAAAATATAATTCTATATTTTCTATTATTATATTAATGTTCCATTCTATTTTTATTGAAAGTATTGCTGAGTTTGATTGTTTAATATTTAATTGTTTACTCAGTATTAATTTCAGAAGAGTAGATTGTCCTTCTACATATTAATATAATATAATATAATATGAATAAATAAATAAATCTTCTTAGTCATTTATGGTCAATTAAATTAAATTAACTCTGGTAGAAAACCAATATTATTATTTACCATTCAAATTTACATCTATTAATTATAATTTTGAATTATCATAAAAAGATGAGATATTTTCAATTTTATGGATCTAATAAGTTAAATAACAAAATATCAGTATTTAAATATAATTCATTTTAATTTATTATTATTCAAAGATCAATATATTAAAGTGAGTTTGAAACTAAAAGATAGATATTATATAGATATTGAATGTTATATGATTAATTTAATAATGTATTAATAAATCATATTAAAATAGTATCCTAAATTGATTCTTATTCAGTTTTATTATAATTTGTTAATAATATAATTTATTACTATATGAAAAATAGGAATAAGGTATTGATTCATTGAAACTTTTTAAAGTTAAGAATAAAGGATATTTTGGGATAGAATGATATTATTTTGGATGAAGCAAGCAATGAATAATTTCGGATTCAGTAAAAGTTCTTAAGGAATCATTAAAAAATGTTTGAATAATTGACATCTACACTTACTACAAGACCATTAACATTTGCGAAGTTTTCATTTCAAAAGGCCGAAGTAGAATAAGATGAATAATTAAGACCAATTGTGAGTGGGATTTATCAACATTAAAAATAAGGTTCTATGTTGACAAGTGAACTTTGGTCAAAAAAATAATGTAGATAATATTTGAAGTAATCTAAGTATATATAATGTATTATATACTCAGTATGTAAACAGCTAAGGGAGTTCTAAAAAGATTTGCTCATTGGGAATGGGATTAGAATTCGAATAAGGAAAGATTTAAGAACCTCACTGAAAAACATAAATAAACAACTTATACTAATGAACGTGAGTTAGTAACAAAATTGCAATTGGGTACAATAGAAGGGGAGAAGAGATTACGATAAAAAATACTGAGAGATTGGAGAATATAAAAGAGTTATGACATCTAAGGGGAATTAGAGAAGTATAAAGATTCAGAGATTATTAAATCAAAAGGAATTAAATCTCATTAATCAAGTTAATCATTGGGATAATTATCATTAAGACATTTGGTTAAAAATAATCAATTAAATCATATTATTACAGAACTCTCAGAATTATAAGAAGATACAAAAAAAGATAAGAAGAATTTTGATAGAGTGACAAAATAAAATAGACATACTAATCGTTTATAAAAGATATCTTTTGATTAATTTTTGTAAGACTGATTAAATATATATATATATATATAATAATTGTTTAGACTTTGAATTTAGTTCATTTTTTTAATAATATATAAATTTGACTAGAATGTTGTTGAATAATTAATAATGAACTAATCAAATTGGTTTTCAATAGATGATTTAGAATTATAACATTAAACATCTCCAGCCAATCCTCCAGTTATTAAAGAGAGAAAATTACCAGAAAAATTAGACATGGATTCTATACTCTCATAATATAAATAAATAGAAATCAATTCAAATCTAATCAAATATATAGTTTTTGAGAATGAAATAACAGAGAATTCTAAATAAATTAATGTTAAATCAAAGATTAAACTAAAATGTGAAGAAAGAGATTTAGAAGGAAATCTTGCCAATAAGGGTACTAATAATATTTAGGCAACTAAAATATCAATGGCATCTAGCATTCCTTATATATAAGGTTTAAGATCTGCTTTTCTTACAATGAAGGAAGGTGATATTGCTTGGTTCAAATTATCTAATGAATAAATGTATACAGAATAAGAAATTGCAAGTGGAATTCCAGTCTAGAATTTATAAAAATATTTCAAAATTGATATATTAGAAGTAACATAACCTGAACTTCCAATAGATTTAACAAGTTTAGAAAAGTAATATATATTAATATCTTTTAAGTCGTCTCAAGTAGATGGAATTATTTAAAATTGAAGGAAATTAATTTTATGAAAAGCAATAATATCAAAGTGCATTATTAAGATATTAAAGAGGATTAAACTTTCTAGAAAAATGGCCTAAAAAATTTGAAAGTAATCCTGTTGCTATTGAAGCCAAAAGGAATTCTTTATTAGTGTTATCAAGTAATAAGGCATAATGTTTGATTAAATTATAAGATTATAAATAAGCAATATCAGTACTTGAGCCTTTGATTGGTTAAATGAGAAACAAAGTATTTATTTTAGTTTAATTAATAATTTTAGTAATATGAAGTTAAGAATTACTATAGGTTAATAAGTTGTTTTCATAAAATAGATGAATAAGTTAAGGCAGATTTCTATTATAGACAAGTAATCCATATGTGTTAGCTATCATAAGAAGAAAAACACCTTTTTAATTCTATCAAATTCAAGAAATGATTTATTTATTTAAATAAGGTTTATAATTCTGATTATTAATCATTAAATATTATAAATTCATGTTTATTAAAATATGATTAAATTTAGTAATTGTAATTCTAAACCCTAAGTTTTTTTATATTAAATCTATTATTATAATCAAGAGCATAATTTTAATAATTCTAAATTAATTAACATCATTTAACAAAAGAATTATAGTAAAAATAAATAATCACATATCTATTAATATGATTAAATTTAAATATCAATTAATGATAATATATAATCAGCTTATGAATATAACTATAAAGGTAATATCATCTACTACTGAATCATCTTCCTATATTAATTATACAAATATATACTAAAGTCCACATTTTATATGATATTTACATTAATTCATCACAGGCTCCTTCTAGATCACCTTAAACGTAATGCTTTCCTACAATATCAACTACACTTTGATTATCAATAAATTCCCACACTCCATCACTTCCTAAAATAATAAATTTATCTTAAGGAGTCAATTAATATTCAAATATCTCTAAAAATATAGAAATTAATATAATTTACCTGGAACACTAGAAACACCAACTGATTGTGCAATCTAATCACCAAGACTACGACTCATAGCCAATCCTGGATAATTTCCATCTCTAACCCAAACTCTAGCTGGTCCAATCGAATTACCTAATGGATTAATGAATGATACCTTAATCATCATAATAAGTATCTACTCTACCACCATGCATATGTATTCTATTCATTTCTTTTTCAAGACATGGTTTATGATCAATTGATAAAGGGAATGGTTTAAATTTAGAATTGTTTCCTAATTTTCCAATGATTGCTCTACTGTCTCCAACATTAGAACAGATTAAATGACCACCATCTTAAATTAAGATAGTATTCATAGTAGATCCACTAAATTAAGTATCAAATGGTTATTAATTAATTAGATTTGCTAAAACAGATATAGATTTAACAATAGCTTATCTGGGATGTTATTTTAATTAATGATCTCTTTTAAGTATTTTTGTAAATTGATCTCTAACATATTATGATACAAAATGTCCATTTTATCCATGACCATCACATACTGAGAATAGATGCATATCAGAGACAATATTGGTTTCACAAATGTAAGTATCTTAATTAGTTTTATTAGGATTGGATGCTAATTGACCTTATCTTGTTCTTGCACTAAAAGATAGTTTGAATTATAGGAAATCAGGATTATAATGTAAAGATTAAGCAGATCTATATTTGAGATCACTTTTTGGTTCTTATCTCATGTTATGAGTACTAGAACTTTATGCTCTACGAACTTATTAATCAATGATGGAATTATTAAGCTGTAAAATATGAATATAGATTCTGTTACAAAATTGTGCCATAAATTTCTTTTATCAACATTGGTTTTCTATTTTTAATTAGTATATTGTTTAATCAGATTCTAAGTGGATTCAACTGCTGTTTATCTTTTTGGTTATAGTGATTCATAAGGTCTAGATATTTCTAAAATTTAAAGAACTCAAAATACTTTTTTAAGAATTCTTTGTATCAATTGTAGCAGATCTTGGTTATCGTAACTAAGAAAAATTGGTCTTAAGCTATTTGGCACTGGATTTTTGTGTCTATTCTATACGTAGATTCTTGATAAAGTAATTGTTGGTGATTTGGGTAAGGTTTTCTTTCCTCATGTAAATGCTAACAATCAGTACAATTTAGCAATGGTTTTAACATCACTATTCAAGTATGCTGCATAAGACGTCTGTGATTTGCTACCTATCGCCTATTTTGGTTTCTTTCCATTTGCTTTGTAAATATCAACTGTTCTTTTCATTAATTAATAAATGAAATAAGAGGATTCTCAAACACCCAGTCTTTATGGTTACTTAAACTTCTTTCAAGTCTTAGGAGATATGGAATCAGAAGGTCTAATCTCATAATAAGAGAAAAGACTCATCAAGTAGAAATTAACCATAAAAGAACCAACTCTAATGCTTCTTTTATCAAAATAAAAGGAAGACATCAAAATCAAATCAGAATTACTCTCATACTTGTCTTCATTTCAAATTACTCGTTCCAAATCACATACTCAAGATTTTAGTCCATCAAAAAAATAAGGATAACAATTATAAGTACTATAAATTTATTCATATTTCACATAGTCTTAAACAATCTAACTTATGGATCAACTAATTATCTAATTAAAAGGTATGTAATAATATGCCAATAAACATGTAAAATTTATATTATTTATTATTGCAATAGACTACCTTAGAATTTAAGTCTAAAATTGAACAACTAAGAAACATACTCAATTCATTAGATTAAGATGAAGACATTGATTATTCCTTTATAGAATTACTTTAATCAAATTATTAATAAATAAAGGTAATATTGTCGTTACACTTAGCAAAGGTATTCTCGTTACATGAATTCACTCCTTGAATTGATGGATGAGAAAGTTGAACCTAAGGATATCTAGGCATTTCTAAACACCTTTCTAAATTAACTTATTGGATGCCAATCCTATAGTTTTATACTTCTCAAAGATTAAAAGGTTCAAATACATTAGGATGATAAATTTGAAGAATTCCATATCACTAAAGATGTCCTTGATGAATTAGTTAATTTACAATCAATAACTGAAGTTCAATCTTTGAATACTATCAAATAATACTACACAAATCCTCATAATTATATACTAAAACTCACAGATTTCTAATATTTTATTATGCAATTAGATCCAAATTTTATATCATTTGTTATGTTATCTAAGAAATATAATTACATGGATTCCTTAATAGATTTAGCTCAATTTGTAATATATACTTCATAACAAATCAAAGTCTAATATTTTAGTATTTTGTCTATTGGAGACACAATATTGGAGTTTGGTCTAGAAATAGTAAGATGCTCAAAGTATCTACTAATTGATAATATTCTTTAAACAATTAATAAACAATATTAGATTTAAGAGATATTTGAGAATTAACATAATGTTATTACTCTCAAATTTAAGGACTCTTCTTCTCAATATCTTTATGCCACCAATTTAGATCTAAAAAAATAGTAAGACTTATTGATATACAATACTGTCAATCAATTATATTAACGATACTAATAGTTTATTAAATAGTGTTATGAAAGAATGCAATTCTATAAGTACTTTTTAAGATCTAAAAACTTATTTATGATTGATTTTGATAAACAGGGTCGTTTACGTTTTTTAAGTAGGGCTTTGTCACAAAAGATTAAAATATAATTTCATATTGAAAAAATCTAAATTGATACAACATATAAGTAGATCTTCATATAGAATCAATAAATGCTTCAAAATATTGAAAATTATATTAGTAATTCAAAATGGAAATTAAATTAGTAGGAGGAAGACTAAAATAAACAATATGAAATATTCATTAGGAAAGAAGAGAAGTAATTCAAAGGATTTACTTTAATCCTTTCAGAAAATGAATGGGTTAGAAAAAAGACTCAACCTCCTACTAATGGAAAGACCATTAGACAATAATTGTTATAGACAGAAACTATGGATTATATTAAGAAATTAGAAGAATTTAATCCTGATATAAGAAATTCTGTAGTTGCAATGTACATGCCTTAAATATAGGAATTTAATTAAAATGCTTAACAAACTTAGAAGACTCCAACTTTAGTTTTTAGAAAAATTGATAAGGAATAAGTTGTTGGAAAGAATAGTTTCTTTTTTAAACAAAGAGAGGAGGAGAGAAGGTTTATGAAAACAAATCCAAATAAATTTAATGAGTCTCACTTAATACTTAAAGAAGAAGATAATGAATTAGATTTTTTGGATTTTAATATTCATTTAGTAATATTTTATAAATAGTATTAGATTAAATCTACTATAGAGAAATAAAGAATAGTATGGTCAATTTTGGAGAGAAATAATTTTAATTAAATGTTTGCATTACCATAAGATAAATTGATTAATTTTTTAATTGAAATGGAAACTCAATATAATATGAATAATAATCCTTATCATAATTTTGATCATGGAGTTGCAGTAATGCAAGCTGTAAATTGTTTTATTAAATCATTGAGTAAACAATTAGATTAATAATTTTTTAATAATATTACTAAGTTTTGTTTATTGTTATCAGCCTTATGTCATGATGTTGCTCATACAGGTAAGACTAATGCATATGAAGCTAATTCATTGAGTCAATTGGCAATTCGTTACCATGACAAAGTGGTATTTTTTATTGTGTTAACTCTTTTATTAGATATTGGAATAACATCATGCAGCAACAACCATTAAAATCTTAAGAGATAGTTAAACAAATATACTTTGTAATTTTTCTGATTAAGATTTCAGAACTTTTAGAAAATAATTAATTTCAAATATTTTATCAACTGATATGTAGGATCATTTCAAAATGCTAAAGGAATTCGAATCTAGAATAGAATAATATGGTAATGATTCTGAAGATTTATCTTTATTGTGTGGAATGATTACTCATACTGCTGATTTTAATGGTACTGCAAGGAAATGGCCATAAAGTAGATTATGGAGTGATAAAATCAATTAGGAATATCGTGCCTAGTATGCAGAAGAAGGGAAGAAAGGTTATCCTTAATAACCATTTATGAAGGATTTGGATAAGGTAAAATAGAGTATATAATATCAAAGTTGCATGTGATGTCTAAAAATGAAATTGGATTCATTAAGGTTATAGTAAGGCCATTGTATCATTAAATGAATTTGTTTGGTAAAGGAGCATTTTAAATTTGTGTGGATAATTTAGATGAAACTATTTTTGAATGGGAGAAGGTGTATTAGTAAGAGTTAAAGGCATTATAATAATAAAGTAATTAATGATTACTTATTATATTTTTGCTATATTAATATATATTATACATTTACAATATGAATATAGGCAAGCCAGATCTTAAATGGTATATTCAATAGAAGGCAGCCTAAAATGTTAAAGAGAGACTTTTTGGATATCCTAGTCATTAAAATGAATTACCTGTCTAAAATCAAATCAAGTATAATATACCAATAGAATTTATAGGATACATCAATAATCAAGATTAGAAAGATGTCATTAAGATACTCAAATTCACTCATCTCAAAGTATTCATTCTATTTAAGTATTTTAGTGGTTAGTGAAAAACAATAGTTTTGCTTTAGGTTATAATAAGATTAATAATTAAAAAACGATAAGGACACTTATCTTTATTTGATTTAAATGATTCGAAATTATTTTATAAGAAATTTGCTAATGATTAAGCTATGGTAGGCATATTAAATTAAGAATACTTAAATAAAATATTTGGAATTGGAAGTAATGGTGGGATTTACACAATTGAAAAAGGATAAGGAGGATTAGAATAGTGACCAGTATTGGAAACTAAAATATCTTAAATTACAGAGGGAACCTTTTCACCTAATCATTATAAAATTGCTTTTTCAAGTTAAGATAAATCAATTTATTTATATGATGTCTAATCAGAATAGAAGGAAACTCTTATTGGACATGGTAAGGAAGTTTATACTGTTTAATGGAATCCAGAGAATAGTTTAATACTTAGTGGATCTGATGATGAAACAATTCCTTTATGGGATGCTTCTAGTAGAGATGAAATACTTAATTTAAAAAGACATAATTTATGAGTTAAAAAGGTTAGATGGAATAGAAATGGAACATATTTTGCTACAACAGGTAAGGATAAACAAACTTTATTGTTTGATCTTAGAAAATTAGATACAGAAATATTAAAATTACATCAGAATTAGATTGACACTATATTTTGGCATCCAAAATATTAGAATATATTTCTTATTGGTGATGCCAATGGTTCTATATCATGTTATAATATTAATGCTCCAACAGAATCTATGTATATATAACATGTATCTGAAACTATTGTAACAGATTTGGCATTGGATTAAAGTGGTTTAATGATGAGTCTGATTAGAGCCAAATAAGTATAGCCAGATTAAAAAATTAGTATAGCTGATTAAATATCTATTTATAAGACTGCATGATTTATATATATGTAGAACTATTATGAATATATATACAATATTAATATATATTTATATGAGTAATAATATTGAAAGAAGCTTTTCTGTAAAGAATAGGAATTTTCATCCAGAAGAGACAACACAAAGTAGTGGCAAAGTGAAAGTTACTAGACATTTTACTAATCAAGTTTATTAAGCATAAAATTCAGATCAAAAGCCTACTAAAGATGTTGAGAAAGTGAATGAATTAATTAAATTAAGTGAATAAATCAAAAAAGAATTGTTGAAGGTTAAATTTTGTATGCTTTGTAAGAGAAAGTTTTAGAGTATCAAATATTTGATTGAACATGAAGAGAATTCAGATGTACATAAAAAGATTAAATAATGATATTTATTAAAATTTAACGTAATGCTTGATGAATTAGAATTTTTGGTTGAAAAAGAATTAGCAAAGTTAAATTCTCTTAATGGAATAAATAAGACTTCTTAAATTGTTCAACAACCATTGAAATAGAACAAGGATACTGTCAATCTCATCATTTAAATTGATAAGCCAAAAGAAGTCAAACAATTATTAACAGAGCAATGTTCATTCAGACCTATGTTATCTAGAAAATCTCTAAGAATTGCTGAGAAATTAGGTGATGCCAAAGAAAGACTAACAAAACCAAGATCAGTCACACCTGAAATTAAAGAATAATCATAATCATAAACAAGAAAAAGAACAATATCTGGAATTGCTCCAAGATGGGAATAGTTATATACATTAGATCAATTTTATAAATCAAAAAAAGAAACTTTGAGATTATAATTAGAATTGGAAAGATCAAAAGAAAATGAAACAACATTTTAACCTAATCTTTCAAAGAGTTAAACTAAATATTGTGATTTTACTATGCCTTTTGAATAAAGAAATCGATATTGGGAAACTAAAAAATAAGAAAAACTTGTTTAATATTAAAAAGATGTCCAAAATGAAAGTCAATAATTATGTACCTTTAAACCATAAGTAAATAAAAAAATAGCATAAAAAAGTGTAAAAGTATCAGAATTCAATAAAAAAGGACTCATTACCTATTTCGAAAGAGTCTAATAAGCTAATAAAAAAAAAGAAGAACCTAAGAAATCCTCAAAATGGAAACCTGGAATTACAATACCACAAGAATTCAAATTAAGTCATACAAATAGATAAATATGATTTCAATCAAATTACTATATCATATTATTAAGTTAATACTAATTATTAGATTGCTTTCAAACTTAGTATATCATAAATATTATTATTTATATTAAATAATAATATTGATAATCTGTTAAACATATTTTAATTATTATTCAGATAATCAAAATATTTAATTTAATTAGAATATATAAGTAATGCATTTATAAACTTATTTGATTATAAATTCATTACTTATATTAATATCATTTATTATCTATCTAAATCATAAACTTTTGTAGTTTAAATCATATTTTACATTCATATCTATTTATAATTTTATATTATTTATCTAATATATCTAAGCCCATATCTATTTTTTAATATAAAAAATTTCTAAGTTTTCAATAATTATTATATGAGAGTATGATTGAGATTGATAATTTATAAGATTAAGTCATGGTTGATTATAGTAAACAAATAAAAAGTCTACTAATTTAAATCATTCTTTATAAATTTAAGATTTTAATTAAATGAAATGGATCTTTAATCATTTTTTTGAATAGTATTATAGCACACAACAATTTTAGAAAATATATTAAGAAATTTCATGAGGAATTGGAAGATATATTGATATTATTAAAATAGATTAACAAGTAGGATAGATTATTAATGATAGAACATTGATTAATATTTGAGGGAAGTCCAATATTTATAACATAACCTAACTTAATATATAATATTTGAAAAAAAATCAAATGATTGATAGATGTAAATAAGGGGGATATAATTATTTAGTAATTATTCTGAGTTAACAAAAGAGATTGAGATTAGTTATTAGATAAAGTGCAATTGTTTAATAGTTGAGATTTCTGACATACGTTAAGAGATGATATGATCATTAGTTTGGAAAAATGAAAATTATATATTAAATTATATATTGATATGAATAAAGTGAGGCGTGTTATAAAGGGTTTGGCACTAATGTTGAATCATTTCAAGAAAAATTAAAAAGCAAATAAGATGGAGAGGTTTCGAAGACACGTTATAAATGAGATTTTATTTACAGAGTTGAACTATATCAATGATTTAGGTGTATTAGAGGAAGTAAGTATAACTGATAGCATACTTAGCTTAGAGAAACCTTAAGGAATGAATTAACAATAAAGAGTGACGAATAATACATTAATAAAATATTTATGAATGTTTCTGATATAAGATAGGAGAATTAAAAGTTTTATGATTAGATTAAGAGTAAAACTGTAAATTTAAATGCAAATTCCGTAATATTCAATAATGTTGATGTCTAAGGTTTTGAGACATATTATAGCTATTGTAGGAATTATAATGAATCATTGAAAGCTTTAAAATAGTTATTATAAAAGCAACCTTAATTAGAGTATAGTTTGAAGAATAGATAAAATATGAGAGGATTGTAAATAGTGGATTTTCTGGTAAAGCCTGTACAGAGATTACCAAAGTACATTTTGTTTTGGAAAGAACTCAAGAAAGGTACTAGGAATAATCATCCTGATATGGAAAATATATTGGGTTTACAATAAGAATTTGAGAGACTTAATGAAGAAAATAATAAATCTATGGATAAATTCATGAATAGGGCTAGAGTGATGGAATTAAGTAAGGAATATGAAGATGATAGCATTTATTAAGAAAATGAGGATAGATTGATTATTTATGAAGATATTGCAAGTATTATTAAGGAAGGAAAGGAATTGAATGTTATATTTTACATTTTTACAGATATTGTATTGATAGGGTATTAAGAATAAGAGAGTAAAACTAAGAAAGCTATGAAATTCAAATTGGATTCTTAGACAATAGTTAAAGATTAATTGGATACTAAATATTTTACAAATTTATTTAGTATAGTAATTTAAGAGAATGTGATATAATTTACTGCTTAGAATAAAGAAATAAAAGAGAAATCAATAAAATAAATATAAAAGATTATAAATTATATTAAAGAGAGATCATAATTATAAGATATAGATCCAATAACAGTAAAAGTAGTTGGAACAGAAGAGAGATTCAGTTATAGTATTAATAAATATACAATTTACATTGTAGAAATAGAGATAGATAGAATTGTATTAAAAATATACATTCGATTTTCAAGAGCATTGGAATTATTGAATATATTTAAATAGAGATATCCTGATGGAACATTTGAAGATATATCTTCTTATCATTGGCTTAATAATCATTCAACAAAAGTAATTGAGGAAAGAATGATAGCTATTGAAAAGATGATATAATAAGTATTGATTCTAAATTAAAAATAACCAGAGAAATTATAACCTAATGAACAATCCATTCTATCCTTATTAAGTTTACCAGATAATTTCTATGAATTACCAAAATTAAATAAAAAAGTTGATATTGAAATCAAGAGGTAATTCAAAAGTTATTTAAAAAAACCTGAATAAAAGGTTTAATAAGGAGTTTCTGATATTTTAGATGCTTATTTTTCAGCTAGAAATAGTTAAATTAGAGTATCAACAATATAAGAGACTAATGTTGCTGTAGTTACTGAAAATTATAGAGAAATCTAATAAAAGAATGGAAAGATAATTGATGTTTATTTAATTGATAATTAATGTGAAAAAATATATATTTAAGAAATTACAAGAGCTGCTGAAATAGTTAAAGTATTAGCTTAATAGATGTAATTAAAATATTATTAAGATTTCAAATTGATATTAGAAGATAAATATCTAAATAGAAGAGTAATTGATGATGATGAAGTAATATTGTAATTACATAAAATAAGTGTTAATGGGATCTTAAATTCTTCAATAAATAAAATAGAATAATTTTGGACAAATAGTAATGAAGAGAAATTATTATTTAGAAAAGTAATATATTTAGATCCAAAATATGAATTTGTTGAAATTTATTAAGATTGGGTGAGAATGTAGTATCTTGTACTTTAATTCTTTGAAGAAATTAGAGAACTTAAATTCTTACTGAATCGCTAAAAGTTGTTTCTTTATATAGCATTTTATCTTATTATAAAGAAATAGGATGTGAAATATGAGAATATTTAAAAGTATTTAAAAAGTGAGATATTTGATTAAATAGAACCTAAAGAATGGGAAATGGAAGTTAAAAAATACATTACTCAAATAAATAGTTAATTATTATAATTAGAAACAGAAAAGAAATCTATGGTATATTTGTGTTAGTATCAATTTCTGAAAAACATTTATTATGAGAAAGAGGCTACTATGAATATATATAAGTTGGAAGTACATAGAGAATTATAAGCAACATTCTCGAAATTGAAAATTCTTGATATCAAGGGTAATATCTATATTGGATTGTCTTAATAAAAAATCTCTTTGTTAACACCTTTAGACAAAAAAGTAATTTAGGAAATATAATACCAAGAGATTGATAATATATAATCTTTTCCAAATAAGTTAGTTATACGCACTAAATAAAATAAACCTGAAAAAGGATGGAAATTCATTACTTTCTAAAGTTTTGAGATCAAGATGTTGATCAATTTTTATAAGGAATTGAGTTTGAATGAAAGTTGATAAATTCTATAATCATTATTTGTAAATTTTTATAATGGATGATGCTTATTCTCATTAAGCTTCAACTCCCTTAGATCGAAATCGTATATCCAAATTAGAAACCATGAGGAATGAAAACATGAACTTTGTTGAGTATTCTTAATTACTTAGTCTATAGCTCTAACGATGTGATAGTGGAGTACTACAAAAATCAGTACATAATTTTATTATTACTAAAGATAAGCAAGTGGATTGGATCGTTATTTTCTTGAAATAGAATCTTGGTTGGAAGAAGATAAAACTCTACACACTAACACACCTTTAGTTCTAGAAGCAGATGATGGAATTGGTAAGAAAACGCTTTTAGTAAAATGGATGGAATATCATGCTAGAAATAAAAAAGGAGTAAGATTATAGTGAATAATAGCGATATCCTGATTTCATAATTCCACATTTTGCCACTTAATCAGGCAAAAATAGCAATTATTATTATGCCATCTATAGAATTCTTATTAAATTAAGAGAAGCACTCAATATAAAATAAAAAGTAGAATTATTAGAAGAGAAGTTAAGAAGATATTTCTAATATTGGTTAGAAATTTGTAGTAGATAATTGGAATAATAAATTATAAATGGTGCTCCAATCATTTATGATAAAGTATCATACTTATTTTATTGATCTAGGTTATTTTAGTATTTGAAGGAATAGATAATTTTAGAGAAATACTGGATATGCATAGAGAAGCTAATGTAAACTTTTGGTTGCCAAAATATTTCCCATCTAATATCAAAGTTATTGTAACTGCTGAAAGATAATCAGCATCAATGAAATTGTTGAAGCCTGATTGTCATGTAATACCTATTGTATCTGACAAAATTGTAATGAAATAGACAGTCAATCATCATTTAGGGAAACATCTTCTTATTTAAGTATTTTTATATTAACTTATAAGAATCCTTAAAATATCTTAGATATATTCATACAATTAAGTTATAAAGTGAGAAATCAACCAGTTTTTGTTAGATCTTACTTTTCTGTATTCATTCCATATCCATCAGAAGGTGTTGTAGAATAAGAGGAAATTGATTAAAGTATTGTTGAATAAATATTGTAACCACTTAATTTGAATCATTTCAAATCTATGAAAATAGTTGAAGATTTATTTGCATTTCAATTAGATTACTTTTCATAAGCAAATATTATGGAAATTCCTAAATTTAAAAAAGTACTATTAGTATTAGCTTTAACATAAAAAGGATTAACTTATCCAGAAATTGAAAGTGTTTGTAATATTACTATCAAAGAATGGAAATTATTTTTAGTTTTCTTTAAAGTATATATTATGATACATAAAGAATTATGGATAATTCATAATGAAATCTTTAAAAAAGTAATCATAAATACATATTATATTGATGTTAAAGAAATGTTAGAATTACATGATAATATAGCTACAACTATTGATAAGATTACTCCAAATTCCATTAGAAAATTAGAAGAATAAACATTTTAATTATATAGTGCTAAAAACTATTTCTCCTTAAAAGAAGTAATAAGTATTATTGAAAACTTTTTACTACTTTTTAATCCTTCAAATAAATATGATTTATGTAGATATTGGTAATCTCTTGAAGAGAATGGATTTGATCCTGTTTTAGAATACAATAAAGCTGTTGAAGGTTTTCAAATTCATTATCATCCTTCATCTGAAGATATGTTCAGAATCATTTTATAAATATCAAGATTTCTTAAAGAATTTGGTGATTTTGAAACTAGAAACACTCCAATATTTAGACATCCTCCAATCATAGGTGTATTGAGTGACTTATATGATATTGGATTACTGTAAGAAATACTCAAATTAGATCTTTATTATGATAAAGCACCTGAATTAAAAGAGTTTGATCCAGCTAAACATTTAAAACGTGTTGCTAAACCAAAAACAGCTCCAGTATTATCTAAAATGGAATCACTCAATGTAGAAATACAATAAAATAGATAATTAATCAGAACACATTATCTTTCATTATTGTCTAAACCCTTTGAGCAAACAGAAAATGAAGAAGAAAACCCTGATAATTTGGATTAATTGGCTGAAGAACTTAATCAAAGATTAAAAAAAATCATATAATAAAAAGAAGATAATCTATCTTAAGATTAATTGTAATCAAATGAAAGAGAATCTACAGATTATTATTATAAGAGATGGATTTGGATATAATTTCCTTGGGCTTGTATGAGTATTGATAAGAATTGTGATTACTCTACTGTTATTAAATAATGTTTCTCTTCTGCAACAGATTATATGAGTGTTGAAGATGAGAATGCATTTACAGAATCAGCACTTAAAATTGCATTTGAAGCTAAAAGAAAACGAAAAGAGATGTATGAATAAAAATAAGAATAAGAAACAAAATTGCAACTTATTCCATAAATTCCTGTATTGTAATAAAAGGGATAAGAGGAAGTTTTGAAAAAATAAAAAAGAGAATAAATTGAATTTAATACTATTTCAAGTTCAAGATACCTTAGATCATCTGCTGTTATCTTACCTTCAGTATCTAATAGTAAGGATTTGATGATTAAAAAATAAGATTAATCCTATGATAATCACAAGAATAATTAGATGTTTATAACTTCAGATTTTATAGATTCAAATTATCTTAATGAAGAATCTAAAATAATTAATTTAAATTAAACTACTATAACAAATGATGGTAAATAGACTATGCAAATACTTGATTAATTAAAGAAATAAAAAAGTAAAATGAGATAATTTCCTTCAAATTCATTATCTCATGAAGTATATAAAATTACTGAAATATTTCCTATTGTAAAAGGAAATATACAATAACATTCAACAGCTTAATTAAATTTGTTATAAAATCAAGCAAGAATGATGAGATAAAAATTGAATTAAATCATCTATGATAATTTATAACTAGCTCAAACTTATAAGATGTTAAAGATAATGGATTTCAATAAAGGATATTTAAAAAAAGAAATGAATAATTTAGAAGATTTAAAATAATTATAAAAAGATCTTAAATAATAAATAGAAAGAGCAGAAAAAGAATTAAAGAAATCTTGTAAAACAAAAATAAGAGTTAAGAAAATATTGAAAGTATGTAGAGATAATAAGTAATAAAATGAAGAATATATTCGATTTTTAAATTATTTAACAAGAAACTTTGCTAAATTGATTAAATTTGAAGAATTAGAAATTAAAAAAAGTTAAGAAAATATCCAATTAGCTAAACGTCAATTTGATGAATTTTTAAGAATATATCATTAAAAGAGATAACATTAAACAACATTGTTACTTCAAATAAAAAATAGTTTAAATGAAAAATAACATTTAGATAAATTATTTTAAATTAGTGATTAATAGATTACCTATAAAGCTAATGATTCTATTTAAAAATTAAGGAAACGATTGAATAAAAAAGAGGATGAAACAAAAAACAAAAAGAATAAAGAAACATAGGAAAAGGAAGAAAAATTATAAAGAGAAAAATTAATAAATTTAGAATAATCATATTAAAAGATTAAAAGAGTATTTGACATCAAAAATAATGATTATAATGAGAAGAAAGAATTTATAGATTTTATGGATTAAAAAGAAAGAAAAAGTACATATGAAATTCAATTGTCAACAAGTAGATAATAATTAAGTGAAGTATTGGATTTAAATAGAAAATTAAATGAATAAGCTAAAACTTATGAAAATGCTTATTCATCTCTTAATTTGAATTAAAAAGAAATTAAAATAGATGGTATCTTTTTTAATTTTATTAAATTTAGATTAAACTTAAGAAAAAAAATAAGTTATTAATATTTAGTTGTAAGAATTATAACTTAAAAAACTTATGGTTTTATAGGCTCGATTGACAAGTTCATTAGATTTAATTGGTAAGAAGTGTGGAGTATAGGAGCATGATGATGTAATTTAAATTTAGATTATTAAAAGATTTCTATAATTTTAAATGAGAGAAGACAATTTATAATTAAAAATTAAGGATAGACAGATTATTAATAGATTGTAGAAGAGAATTATGACATTAAACCCTTGTTAAAATAATAAGCACCTTTTTATTTTCCTAAAAGATATATTATTAATGGTAGTAATAATATAGATTAATGAAATGAATTATATCTTAATTTATATAATATAAATAATTAATTTATATTAATTAATTATTATTAATTAATATATATATTATTTATTAATAATAAAATATATTTATTTTTTCAATATAAAGAATTATTGATTATCTTTGTATTATATACTTATTATCTACTTATTTATTATATAATAATTTAATTAAGGCCATCATTTTATTTTTATTTTAAATATGATGATTTTTATCATAATTTATTTTTATACTATGACTATTGCTTTCCTTTAAGAGTACAAGGATATTCTGAAACATTTATAATAGAAAATTATGTAAATTAAAAAAAATTCTGTTTATTAATAAAGCTTTTATGGTTATTTTATAATCAATTAAATAAAAGGTATATTTTTAGTTGAAAATTGAAATTTATTTAAACGAGATATCAATATGTTATTTGGTTTTTAAAAATGAGGGAAAATGCTTAATTGAATCAAGAAACATATAATATTTAGTGATCAGTGAAGAAATGTACATTGTGAAATGATATATTGGAGTGTTAATATAGTAATTTTAATGTATATTCACATGAAAGAATATTATCAAAGCATCTCAATGAATTTTTAATTTAAGTTTTTGCTGGAACGTCTCTCTGACATTGGTTTTAGTGGGCTCTGAAGGAATGTACCTGATCTCATATCAATTATGATCGTTTCAGATAATTATGTTAACTTCTAAAACAATAGTGAATAAATCAATTACCAAGTCCCTAGTTTCTTTTAATTCACGGGAAGACATTTGTTTGGCAGCTAATTTAGAGTCAATTTATGTGATGGATGGCATAGGTTGAGGGAATTCATCCATGAAATCCATTTTATCAATGTCTCCAATAATGGAGATCTTCATTGGTTCCATAACTTGAGCTCTTTGAGTAAGGATAAGAGATGGAGCTTTAGTTAGGGGTCTCAGTTCGTTGGCTCTGAGTATATTATTTGGTCTATCTTAGCAACACCCCATTATCTTTTGATAGCTTTGAGAAATTGATTTTAAATTAATAAAATCAAAATTAAGAGGTCGTATATCAATGATATATATACTCATGATAAGTGTAACTACAAAATTTGGAGAGTTTCCATCACAGCATTCCTATAAATTTATTGTTTAAATTCTTTTAAGACATTTGTTTTTTTGAAGGACTAGGAGCTTATCGTAAATCGATAATAACTTCTTCCTTTATGTTGAGACTACTAGTTTTGGTAATATTATTTAATCTAAGCTTTTCGAGTAAACCCTTTTCTTCACAAGTACTTTCAAAACAATCTAAATGTTCCATGATTTCATCAGTATCTCCTTTTATTAGATTATGAGATAGAGGAGCCATACTCAAGGATTTGGGAGAAATTTAGAAGCCTACATGATCTAAATGTAGTTCATCTTAACATCTTAGTGAATTTTAGCAACAACCCATTAAATAAATTAATTTAAGATAAAATTCAAAGTTCTTACACAATTTTTATTCTTTATTTTCACCAATTCTTCCAATTTAATGAAGACTAATAAATTAAATTAATCTATACCTCTCTTATATACATTTTGTTAAAATCATCCTATTTTAATTTCTTTATAGCCTTTTCTCTTTTCTCTATTTTATTGTATTGTACAATAACTTGCTTTGATTCAGGTACTACATTAGCTTATCTATGTAGATGTTTATCAAAATCTAATTTCTATTTCCTCAAACTAGCCTAAATAATCAGATGTGCAACTAGAATGAATATATAATTACTGTATTTTTCATTATTTTCTAAACAAATAAAGCATTCTTAAAAAACTTTTTAATTTTTTAACTTCAAACTATTAAAACTCTTCTAATTATTGCCATGGAGTTCAATATAACATTCTTAATGGTAACTATGTCCACATTAAAAAGCAACAGCTTTAGTACATTTAGTGATTCTATCATTGCATTCTCCACAAAATCTATCTACACATACTCCTTAATTCATTTATTAGAAGAGTTTTTTGTTTAAAGTTTTGTAAGTGACATCAGTCTATCTCATAGCAATATTGTAAGAAGGTAATTCAAAGGCGAATTTCTCTTAAATAGATTTATTGGTCTTAAGAAATACTCTTAATGGGATAGAACCATAATGTTAATTCATTTTCTAGATATAATGTAAATATTACATTCAATAGTTTCTCTAATTCTATACATTTAGACATGGCTAAGAATACTTCTGATACAATGTCTCCATGCAATTTTCTTAAGGATTCTGGAACTTTAATATCAGTCAATTATTCTAATTTATGCTATTTAAAAAAAGAGTCTAAAAATTAAAACCAATAATTATCATCTTCTATTTTTGAACAAAGATCAATAATATAATTTAATTTTTCAAATATGTCTTCAGAATCAGCTTCTGAGATGGTTTTTGATCTGGCAAATGATTTATGACAATCTTTCAATCTATTGATAAAGAGCAATGTCAACATATCTAGAGCCTTTTAAATTGCTCCATTCTTTTAAAGTAAATAAGCTGCAGCATTATAAACCTTATATTTTTCACAAATTGCCATAGCATCATCTAAAGGGAAATCTCCATTCTAAACATCCTTTAATACTTCTTTAGGGGCTCTTTAACATAGGAGTTCAAGATAGAGTAATCTAATTTAATCAGAAGCTTTTTCATTTTTGATATATTATTTAAGATAATGCAATTAATTTTAAGGTGTTTTCTCTAGTTTCTAAATGATTTTCATTTACAATTTTTCATCATGGAAATATTCTTTGAAAATTCTATTTGTATATTATTAACTGATAGTCATTAATGCATCACAATTATCTATAATATATTCTTATAATTCTAGGAGAAATTTCTCATCAGAATGAATTAAGAGTCTTTCAATAACTTCAAAAACATTTCTTTTCATAATAGTATTTTGCATTAGAAAATAATTAGAAATGCAAGTTAGATAATCTTTTTATCTATATATAAGAAAAGCATGAAATTCAGGATAATGTACACTTTCATTGAATATATTGGTAAGATCATTCAATTGACTAGTATCATAGATGTGAATCAAATAGGCATTTTTATTGACTTCATAGGATTCTAAGTAAATAGGATCAGTTTCTTAGGTATTGAAGTTATATTGTTTCAATGTTTGAAAATAGGATGAAGAGAGAAGTTCTAGAAATAAATTCTCTTTAAATTATTTAGTGAATTAAGTTGGGAATTACATCAACAATTAAGAGTAGAATAACAAGAAATGATTAAGTTATTCAGTCAAGGAAATTTAATGATATTGTTAGGTCTTATCATTATATATAATTTGATAATGTTCTTAAGTTTTGATTTCTTATCTAGTATTTTCTATGGCACTAAGCATCAATTTCAAGATTTCAGGGACATGATCAATAATGTCAAATTTAACTCCTGGGAGTGTGGCTGATTTAATATTAGCATAAATGTGATGTTACATAAATTGAATGAGTAATTAAAGTGATAAACGAATGTCAATAAGTATAAATTATTTAAGATTTTCTGTATTAAAAATGAAAGATACTAATCCTCTTAACATATCAAAATAAATGTTATGTGGAACACGTTCTCCTACAATATTGATACCTTTTACACACATACGAACATATGCTAAAATATTATATCCTAATTTAATTCTGAATTGACGTAATTTCTCTTTTTCTATATGACAATGTTCTTTTTATTCTGATTAACATTTATTTTCCCAAAGATCCATCAATTTCATTAATCCAGTTATGAAATCTCCTTATTTAGTACATAAATATATCATAGCTTTGTATAAATGATAATCCATACACACCTTAATAAGAAGAGTTGGTTCTTATTGATGTAAATCTAATTATAATATTAATTATTATATCATTTCCTTTTCATTTTAATAAAAGTTAACATAATCAATAAAGAATGATTCAGGAATTGCAGCAATTTATTTATTCTTAATGAAGGGATCTAAACAAGTGAAATACAATTTCATTTATTATATATCTTTAAAGAAATCTTTTAATACAACTAAAGCATATGACATATTATCAACTCTTAATAAAAATTCTATTGTTTTTTTAATTTTATTTTCTTTTTCTTATTAAGATAATGGAATGTCTAATGGTTTAAGAGCAAACATAATATGAGTAAAAGCAATCTTTTGAAACATTTGACTCATTTATTCTGAACGTGCTGATAGAGATGATGCAATTTCACTAAGTATTTTAATTTATCCTTGATATATAAGCATACCTTAATGCATAGCTTTCTCCCATTGATTCTTTTCAATCAAATCATCTAAATATTCATTCCAAGTTTATAATCTTTCTATTAAAATATTATTCTTTCTTAATGAAACAATACCATTCTCATATATTTATACTTAACAAGGTTTACTAGGACCTTCATATGATACAGAAATTTCAGCCACTTAAGGTTCAACATCTTCTTTAGATAACATTCTAGTTTTTGGTTCCAAAATTACTATCCCATCTTCTTATTTGGCAAATTGAAATTAAGTTGTATGAATCAAAGCAACCCAACTTGAATCTGAAAATGCATAAATTATATTATTTGTTAAAAATGAACTCTTTATTATATTACCTTTCTCTTTTTCCATCTTATAAACAGCACTTAATAAATAATTTAATTATATTACCCTTCAACAATTTCAAGTTCATCTTCTATATTCATACATTTCACTAAATGAAATATATCACCCCATCTTATACATAATAATTTGGCATTTTAATAAGATTTTTAAAAGTATCCTTCTCCCCAAGATAATTCTCCACTTTCTGTATTATCTTATTAAGGAATATCAATTGAAAAAGTATTTCTCTTTAAAGTATATACAATTTCACATTTCAATGAACCTAAATTAATAAATATTATAATACCTTTATAGAATTTAAGTATTTCAACACGATTAGAATATAATATAGCAGCAATAACTACTTATTATATATTTTGATTTAATTATTAAGTCATAGCTTCAGGCATCAACTTAATATCTAAAGCAAACTTAGTTAATTATCCATCTGTATCACTTGAATGTTTAACAGATGGATCTGTTAGTTCAGTGACTTCATCTTCTTTTTTAAATATACTTTTTGCATTATTCCACCAAGAAGATTACTTTTATTTTGGTTATTAAGTGCTTCTTTTAATATGATAGATTTTGCCATTCTTATAGATTTTATCTTTTGAATAACTGACTATGTATTTATCCATGACTGTCATTACTGTAAATGCATGTTTGTAGATTACACCATGTTCATCTAAGGAAAGTGCTTCAATAGTAGAGGATGGTATGAATAAGACTTACATTACTTTACCAGAATGTAATTTAGATTCATGATGTAAACGTTCCCATTTCCTACCAACTTCATATAATTAAATATCTCCTCTCTCAAAACCAACTAACATATATTTCTCCCAACATTAAATTGCTAATACAGATCCATATCTTCCTTATCTTTCACCTGCATTAAGTATAGCTTAGATTGATTCTACTCTTCCATTTACAATCTCAATACAGATAATCACTGATAATTGAGTGCCAATCATTAGATACCTCTTTTGACGATGCATATAGAAGCAAAGTTAAGTTGGTTGTCCATAACTACCATATAATTCATTTGCTTATTATGTAAAACCATAAATAGGATTAACTTAGAAGCAATCAGGTTATTGTTGCACCTTATCCTAAAAGAAAGTATTTCTATCTCTGGACTCTAAGGAGAGCTTTATTAATTCAAAATATTGTATATTACCTTAAGAGATTGATATATTGGTTCAAGTTGGTCGAGAATGTTGAATTGTGTAAATTGCTAATATCTACTCCGTAATACCTCATAATTTAGATAATACATATATATTATTATTGTAAAATTACTCAATAAGATAAGTAATAATTAATTGATTCATTCTCTTTTCATTAAGGATTAAACTTCACTTAATTTATTAGAAACAGGCAATCTCAAATGCATTTCTGATTTGCTATGTCTCAATAATTCTTGTCTTGCACTTATCAATGTTGATCCCAATCTTTCATCTATCTTCGAATTAACACTTCTAACTGTGCCTGGTCTCATTGGTTAGACATATTTCGATACTTAATTAAACATAGGACCAATCTCTATTTTCTTTCTTTTAGACTCCTCTCTTGAATATGAACACATACGTTTCATTTTATAAAATGCACTACTCATAATCTTATTAGCAACTGCACCTCTAGGAATGTATTATGTTAATGGAAATTAATCCAAACGAGATGTAGTTTATGCAGCATCATCTACTTATAACTCTGTTTTTTATTTTGAAGTATGAGTTTTAAGACGGTGATATAGAATAATCTCTTTTGGTTTTTCTTCTTTTTTCTAATGAATACTCTATAAATATTCAATCACATTGATATATGGAGTTTCAATATTTCTTGGTGATTTTATCTATTAGATTTGATTAAGAATATTGGATGAGAATTTCTTGCCTATCATTCGAGATCTCAATTATTTATGTTTACAGTTTTTACATAGATCTGTCATCAATTTAATTACTTATTATAATATATTTTTTTATTCATTTCCAAATCTTTATTGTATGATCTCTACTTGCAGTAACCAAATAACTATTATCATGGTCTAAATATATCATATCTGTTATGCAATCCTTATGCTCAAAAGAATTGCCAGAATTACTTTGGTTTTTGAATTCATAATCCTAAATTACATAAACATCTCCACTTGGACATTACTTGAATTTCCTAATTGAATTATATGGTGAGCTTATTATATTAGTTTGGAATTCCTAAAATATCATAAATTAAATACTCTATCATTATTCTTGTCTTATTATTTAGAAACATCACTATTTAATGTCCAACTTTATATACTTCTATCTGTACTTGCAGTAATGAATGTATTTTCTTATCTTTAATTATCAATACGTGATGTCAAGCAAATCAATGAAGTCACAGTACTTTTGCATTCAAAAGCTGATTTCAAATTTATATAAAGATTCTTTGTACCACGTAACCAACGATCTTTTGCTACTCTTTCTGATGATGTCAAAGGATCTTTTAAATATGATATTAAATCAACTTAATAACTCTTATTCAGAAAATCATAATGACATTATGTTGATAAATTATTATTATGATTTATGAATTGTTCTGATTTTAATACAGATTATAATCTAGGTGTTTCTATTATTGGATGTTTTTTATCAGAACAATATAAAAAGAGTGCTGGATTCAAATCCTCATTTTACTTATTTAAATCCCAAAATCCTACTTCATTATTATTAGATTAATATCCAATACCTACTAATTTTTAACTATCATTATTCATTCCCTCAAATTAAGAAACTCTATTCATATAAGCTAAACTAAATATAGGTAATGCTTAATCATCATGATTCAATAATTAGAATAAATTGACAATCATAGTACTTCTTATATCATATAAAATCAAATAACCATTAATAGTACCAATCAAAGTAGTATAATTATCATGTACCATGCTTGATACTAATCCACGTTATCTTCCAATATTAAAACTTTATCCATTCCTACTTCTAATATCTTCAATCTTGAGAGTACCTTTCTCAGTTACATACATAAATGTATTTTCTTAATCAACAATCTTCCTAATTTCAGAATCCCCCTTAAGAAATGTACTAGTATGACGATCATTTGTATATAAACTAACACTTCCAGTATTTGTACCAACAACAAAACTGTCAGTTCCTTCTAATGCACATAAAGCAGAGATTCTACTTTAAACATCTCCTTCACTTATACGTATCTAAGCAACACTACCATTTGTAAAGTCCTCTTCAATCTTCTTCATATCATATATTCTAACTGTTCCATCATAAGAACCAGATATGAATCTTCTTTGATCTCCAAATTTCTATAAAGATGTAACAATCCCTTTATGTTCAGAAATTGTAGTTACAATTTAATTACTAATTTTAAATGGTCTAGTAATTGGTTATTAGATTTATCTTTAAAATTGAATATCCTATATTTATTATTAAGATGATTTAATATAAATCTAATTGGCTATAATATTATAATTGAATAAATTAATCCATTAAGTACTTGATTGAGGAATTTAATATTGTAATTATAAATGTAATTCTTATAAATATTTAACTTTCTTTTTAGTTAATACATTATCCTATTTATTTGATAAATCAAATCCATTATTATTTTTAATATATTGAATAAAATCTTCCCATGTTTTACCACCCTTCTTTGAGAAATCTTCCCATTTATTTTAATCTAATTACATCAAACCTACTCTAAAAGCAGCTTCAATAAAATCATTAACACGTTAATTCATTTTGGCTATTGGATATTGAGCCTTTTAAATTTATTATTATATAGCTATTTCTTAGATATTCTTTGATTTCTTAAAATATTCTTCATAATAATTATTATAATTATAGAGTTCTCTTTCTGTTAATGTTGGATATCTTGGTTCATTTTAATTTTTCTAATCAAACCATTTAGAACAAATAGGTTTTTGTATAAGTGATGTAAATATCTCTAGATTGATTATTGGAACATCTAATTTCAAATACTTTTTAATATGTGGATGAAATTTAAAGAATATTTATTTACTACTATATCTATTAAGTAAGATAGTGATAAATTCTTTGGCTTCCTCTCTAATCCATCTATTGTGATGTAAAATCAAAGGAGATATTTCTTTTACATATTAAATCACTTTGTTGAATTCCAAGAGTTATTCTTCAGTAGCTTATCTAACAAAACGGATTATGCGAAATAGAGCACTTTCTTATCTGGTATTCAATTATAGACAATATAGAAGTAACTAACTATTTTCAGTATTGAAATAATATTTATATATTTCTAAATAGACATCAAGTAATGCTATTTTTAGAGTAGTATTATTGAATTGAGAAATAAGAAGTGTTAGAATTTCTAAAGTTTGATTACATTCATAATATTTAAGTACTTCATAAATCTTTGAAATAATAATAGTAAGTTCATTTATTCTATTTTCCTAAAACTTCTTTTATATAATTTATAGAAATAGTATTTTCTCTTCTAATCTACTATATTTGTGTAAGATTTCTGCAATATCTCCAATCTTTAGAGCTAATTGATGATTAGTACTCATATCATTCATTCTATTCTTGATTTATTCCCAGATGTATAATTTGAAAATGAGTGTATCAGTAGATGATTGTGGTGGATTCTTAATATTTTTCAATAGATTCAACATAATGGAAAAAGCATAATATTATACTTAAGAATCTGAGTCTTCACAAAGTATTCCCAAACATGGCATTAAAAAATAGTAAATGAGTTCATCATCAATATATTAACATAAGAATTCAATTAATTCCAATCCACATAATCTTGTTTACATGAATCTAGAATTTCTAATTTAATTTGATATCCATAAGATAACTATAATATATTCTTGATTATTCTATCTAATATCTATATTTGTAAATGTACTAGTTCTTAGATTTTATCTAGATCCTTAGAGTTCAGGTTATTTTTGTATTGATTATTTAAGTTTTTGAACCATAGAAACTTATAATTAAACTGATTATGTAATTTAATGTACTTCTTTAAATTCTCTTTAAATTAGATTACCTGAATTTTCAAGAGAATTTGCTATAATTTCATCCATACCTACACCACTAGTAAATTATATTTAAACCATTTTACGTGGGAATTCAAAATCTCTACAAATCTAATTGAATTTACTTAAATTGATGAATTATATTGGCAATGGAAGTGTATATATGAATTATTTCCTTTCTATTGTAGAAATAACCTTTCTAAGTAAAGCAATTCTAGCATCTGGTTACATAAAATAACCATTTACATTTAATGCTATACTTATATATTATAATAATTCATATGTTTAACTTGAACAAATTTCATTACAAAATAGATTTAATGCTTATTCTGAATTATATCTTATTTCTGGATTAATTGATATTAAATTACGAATTAAATCACCAATAATACCATCAATCTTTATAATTGGTTCATATTCACCCTTTCTAAATTATAATAATTATTCAAGTGAAAAAAGACTTTCTCCTGTAAAGATTTCTGCTAATACACATCCAACTGAGAACATATCCATAGCTTACATTGAAAGTAATTATGCTTTTGTTAAATTATAAAGATATTAAACTTCTTATAAATCAGAATACTTTTCAGGTGCTAAAGTACATTTCTATATAGATGATTTATAAATGTTTCTTATTATTTCTAATTCATTTAAATAGGTTGGTTTATAAGATGCAAAATCAGCCAAGATTAGAAAATCAAGACTTGTTAGAAGTACATTAGAAGAACGTATATGTCCATGATATAAATTACGTCTATGTAATGTATTTACTGCACTTAAGAATTGTAAAGCATAAAAGTTTAATAAGCATTTTGGTAATTTGTAATTTGATTATAATCGTTCTTCCAATGTTAAGTAAAGGAATTGTCTAGAAACTGCCAGATATTCTTTATTGCATTCAAGAGACATTTCAGATGGTTGCGGTTTAGGCATACTACCAAAATTAATGAGATTGTGGAATGGCATTAGATTTGGATATGGTTCCAATTATTCAATTAGATATTAGAAATTTTGAGTATGTATATGTAATTCTTAAAGTGTGAGTTATTTACGCATTAGATGTACTTTCAATAGAAGAGTTTATTGATGCCATTTATAACTCAATGTCTTAAACAATTTATTCTCAAAGAATAGAGTCTAACGAGTCCCAATTTCTTATTCTGTATTGTAAGTTTCAAATGCTTTCATCAGATTGATTTTGCCTTTATCCTCAATCAAAGTATTCCCCATTTTTTATATAATTAATATATCACTTTTTCATACTTATAGCTTTAATCAAAGTAATACTTGATCTCTTGAGAGGAGATCGTTGTGAGTTTTTACGTTACACTTTACGCACTGATGCTTTCATTCTCTCTAATGGGGCTTACTTACTCTTATAAAATAAGTCAGGATGGAGCAATGAGAGTTGTCTCACTAATTTAAGGCTATCTTCAAGTGGTCTATTCAATTGATTACGTAACTCAATAAATTATTTGATCTTTATTATAATTATAATAATAATACAGTACCACATTCATATCTAAATCCTCAGATTCAATTTCTTATTTATATAACCATCCAGCCCATTATTTATTTTCAATCATTAGAAAATGTTAAGCCAACATCAATAATAATTCCAATAATGTCATTTATTATTTCTAACTATTAGTAATCTTTTCATTAAATTCTTATGAAAATAATAATTAAAAATAAGGAGATGCTTCTTAAATTGTAAAATTCTCATTCAATTAATAATCATGTTATTCTTACAATTCTTTATAATATTTTATTAATTTTTTTAGAGATACAGAACTTAATTAACGATGTTCACGAATTCCAAATATGATAGCATATAATTAATTTATTGGTTAATCGAGATCACATTCACTAAAATATGTTAATATTGCATTAAGTTTATCTTCCTCTCCAACCCAATCTATAAATATTCTACAAACATGAATTTGGAACTCTCCAATTTGAGACAAGTAATCCAAAAAATTACCCAATAACATAGGATAATCCATTTCTAATTCTTTATTAATTTCATATAATATCTAAAATGGATGCACTTACATAAAAATACCAATTGAATTCAATTAATATAATTAATAATTCTCTTCTGGTAATTTTTAACATCCTAAACGAATTTGTGCTTCTTAGTGTTTCATTGGAAGAGGTTAATTTTATTTTTTCTATTGTATTAAAGCAGTTCCCAATTCTTTAATGTCTTTTTAAAATACAAATGAATGTTAAGAAACTACCTTATCATATTGTTTAAACATACTCTCCAATTCCAAAGCCTTCAATCCAACTGAATTCATTCTTTCCTCTGCTATTTTTAGATCACTCATTTATTATACTGCCACAACATAATCTTGAAATTCCTATTAAACTGATAATAATTATTATTATAAGTATTCATGTTTACGAATATATTAAGCCTCCATAGATTTAAATTCTTTATCCATCTAAATCATTTAATCTTCCACTTTAATCTTCTAAGCTAATGCCTCTTTAAATTATTCTTTAAACTCTTTAACTTAAGCTTCAATGTAATCAGCACAACTCTTACCCATCCATTACAATTAAATATCAATCAACACTATCCAAAATTTACAAAAGCCTTCCATAAATATACCCAATCTAGTATCATGTTTTAAAGCTTCTCTTACACCTTATATTATAGTTTCTGATATTATATTAACAGCATTTTAAACAAAATTCATTTTAAAATTAAGTACAGGTCTAGTCTACTATTAATGTAAAGGTTCAATTATTTATTTATCCAATTATTAAAGTGTGTTAAATAGTGTAAATATGAATTTATCATCTAAAATAGTTTTGTTTTCACACATTTTAGCTCTTTAAACTTCATACATATTAGAGTAGAGCATCATTTTAATTGATTATGGTAATTCACTCAAATTTTAAATCAATTATTCATGCTCTCTACAAAGATAACTATACTATTCATATTATGCACATATTGGAATATTCTCTATTTCAGATGGTATTCTTTTATGATGTTCTGTTCTACCCTCACTTATTAAACTAGCCCATCTAGTTTTACGTTCCTCTTTCTTTAATGAAGGACATCTTGTTCCTGTATGAGATCCTTTAGCTCTCAATCTCATTATCTATGAAATCGTTGGTTTCTAATAAAACATATTTGTTGTTTAGATTGGTCCATCATGACGAACTGTACTAGATTATTTTTTGAATGTGTCTTTAACAGCTTAACTGAATTCAGCATCATTGAACATTTCATCTATCTCACCCAATGAGATTTTAGTTTATTTATTACTATATGTTTTACGATTACTCATTAATTTAATAAATGTAAGTTGCATTTAGTGCCATTTGTGTTGGATTAGATAATGCAGGTAAAACTAGTCTATTACGTACACTCTCTAATAGTTAAAGAATGGAAATATTCCCAACACCTACTATGGAGATTCATTATGTGATTTGTCCAAAAATAGGAAAATATTGTTTAATTTATGATATGTCTGGAAATGGTCGTCATAGATCAAATTGGAGAATTCTCTATTAAGATATACAAGCAATGATCTATGTCATTGATACAAGTGATTCAGAATACAGGTATTATCCAAATTAATATGATGAGATTTCATTTATAAAGACATTTAATTGAAGAAGTACTTAATGATGATTTAATTAAAAAAAGTGCAATTCCAATATTATTCTTATTCAATAAGAATGATAAAAAAAATAGATTCAATAAAGATGATCTAATAAAAGTATTAGGATTAGATTCAAAGAAATTCAAAAATAAATTTATTTTTAAAGAAACATCAAGTTTTGAAATTTCAAAATTAAAAGAAGCAATAGATAATTTAACTGATGCTCTTTATAGTAAAAAATAATGATATTATTATTATTATTATTATATACTTATCATTTATACATCTCATGACTTGCTTCACCTAAACAACTCACTTATCTAATTATCCATATTAATGCTATTGCTACACAAATACATACACAAACCACTTTAAATATATACAAATAATCATTTATCTAAATTTATTTACTTTATTTCTCAAATGTAGCTAATTTAGCAAATCCAATTTATTTATTATCAATATCAAATATTGTTATATGTTTTCTTATGAATGTATCACCTAAAATCCAATAATTATTAGAACTCTTTGTAAATGCTAATACACAAACTGATACATCCATATAAATGTAATCATTAGGACTTAATATTAATTTCAAATCACCCTCTAAATTAAATTCAAAATCAGGAAAATGCGAAAAATCACCATCAGGACATGAACATTTTATTTAATATTAAGAATATTAACAAAATTATTTGTATTAATCTCTTAAATTTGATAATAATTAAGTAAATTAATGAGTTGGTATTACTATCAAAGAAGTACCAGTATCTATTAATGCTGATACATCATTAATTAGAACTTTATTATTCATTTATATATTATTTAATTTTACTGACCATGAATCACTTTTATCTAATTTAACATATTACACATCTGAACTCATGTAACGAGTATCATAACCACCCAAGAATAAAACAGATGAATTATTTATTTATTCTGGTATTGAATTCAAAAAGAATGTAAATACTCTCTTTTCAATCAAATGTTAATCATAAAGCATATTGATTAATGAATTGAATCCAAATTATTCTTGTAATCCCAATCCACAAATTCCATCAGCTCTCAAATTATCTATATTAGATTATGAATTCACTATTAAGAATTGAAAATTTTTAATTGTCATATTGTTAGATATCTGTAACTAATCAAATGCTTTGTTACCTCCTATTTCCCCTTAACCATATTAAACATTATATTATTCTTATGTCATTAAACAATTAGAACTTGATTGACAATCAAATGAACTTCTCTTTGATTATGAGGGACATGTATTTGAAAATACCTTAATAGTATTTATAATTTACCCAAAAAATAGATGAACCTGTATCAAATAACAATTCAAGATCCTATTCCCCTATTTTAATTATCCCAGTATATTGCATATTCTTGAAATTGTTGATCAATAGATCATTTCTTAAATGTTTATTATAATGGTTAGGTGAAGACTTAAGTAAATCTATCTTTACATAGGCACTAATTAGTTAAAATAATAAATATAAAATCATTAATTAATAATGGAAGCATTGCAATATAAATTAAGTCAAACCATAGCTGCACACAATGGTATAGTGAGATCAATCTCTACTTAAGGAAATGAATTATTAACATGTAAAGACATATTCAATCATCCTAATCATAGGCTCAAGTGATAAAACTGCTAAGTTGTATGAAATGAAGGATAATTAGTACCAATAAGTGACTTTGATATCATTCTTTGAGAAATACATATATGCCACATGTGCAAGGGTAAATGGAGGATATGCAGTTGGACATGATAACCAAATCTATTTATTAGATAATGAAGGAAATCCATTAGGTATTTTAGAAGGACATGATTAATAAGTATGTTCTTTAAAAAGCATTTCAGAAAATGTACATTCAATCATCATAAACCGTAGTTATTAATCTCAGGATCATGGGATGCTACTGCTATTATATGGGATATTAGTTAAATGAAATAACTCTATAGATTGAATGGACATAAATATGGTGTGGCAGTATATGGAGATGAAAATTTAAATTTTATTACTGGATCCTAAGATGGAATTCTACATTCCTGGTCAAAAGAAACTAAAATTAAGAGTGTATAGGCTCATAAGGATATCATTAGAGAAATATTACTATCACCCTTGGGAGGCTATATAACTTGCTCTAATGATGAAACCATTAAACTCTGGTCAAAAGATTTAGAATTGATTCAAACCTTTTTAGGACACAAGAGTTTTGTATTTACTATGAAAATTCACATGGATCAAGTTATTAGTGGAGGTGATGATAGATTAGTAATAATCTGGAATTTAGATGGCACTCCATAATAAACCATTTAATTACCAGATACAGTGTGGACTGTAGCTATAAATAATTTTAATGATATTATAATTGGAACAAGTGATGGAAAGGTCAGAGTATTTACCACTGATAAAAATAGATATGCTACTTAGGCCGAAATAGAAGGGTTAGAGTAGGAAGCCTCTTTATCGAATGCTAAATAAGAAGGAGGAATGTCTGAAGAAGAAGTATAGAAATTACCAGGAATTGATAAATTGAATACTATGATAGGAAAGAAAGAAGGGGAAATAAGATTATTTAGAAATGGAAATAAACCTGAAGCATATATGTGGAGTCTTGCTACGAAGAATTGGTAATTGATTGGAGATGTGATTGGTGGTAAAGGGGCAAACTCAAAGAAGTTCTTTCCTGGAGATAAATACTTTGAAGCTGGAGAGTATGATCATGTCTTTGATGTTGAAGATGATAATGGAATTACAAAGCTCTTACCATATAATGAAGGGGAAAGCTTTTATGATTCTGCTGAGAAATTTTGTTTAAGAGAGGGTTACTCTAAACATTATCTTTAATAAATTGTAAATTTCTTAAAAAAGAATACATCTTTTGGGTAATCTCAAAGATAAAAGAAATCAGAATTAGAAACTATGAAAGAATAATATGCTTAATAATAAATATTACAATAATAATAAGCTAAAAAGCAGATTGACTTTTAATATATTCCTTATACATAATGCACTTATTATGAAAATATGAATTTACAAGGTTTGAGTAAGAAATTATTTGAATTCAATGCTCAAATGTCAGAAGAACTTAAATTAACAGAGAAGGAAACTTTAATTTTTAATAAAGGAATTGAAAGTTTAGGACAAGTGTAAGTTTAAAAAACTGTTAATATTGAAAATTCTGTTAGCATCATCTTTATTTAGAAATTGTTAAAATGGGATGCCCAATACTTATTGCCAGTTTATGATTTCTTTAGATTATTTTGTCTTCACCATAGTAGTGAATAATTATTTGCTGGTCTAGAAAAAGGAATGAATTTATTTTTGAATATTTTCACTATAGTCAATACTCAACCTATAAATGCTGTTCTTGTAAGATTGGCCTTGTAAACTTTATGTAATTGCTTAAAACATAATACAAACTCTTGTGCAATCCTATATCATTTAAGAATAGTTAAAGACATTATTTTGAGTCTCCTAGATACAGATGAAAAAGTAAAACATTTTATATCATATAGACTGTTCTATTACTTAGTAATCTTATTCTAAATTTATCAATTGGTATTTATTAGCGAAATGGATTGAATGACTAAGCTAGTGAGTTATTATCAGAGGCTATTATCACTTTTCTTTAATATAAACAAAGAGATGTAGAAACAATAGCAAAATTAGTTACTGCAATAGGAAATTTAATGAAATCTCCTGCTAAATAAATTAGAGAATAGTGTAAAAAAATAACATTTGAGTTTATTTAATCATTGGTCATTGATACAAATAATCAAGACACACTTAAATGTTTAGAGGAGGTTAAATTGAGTATGTTAATTTGAATATTATAAATTGTGAAAATTTAATATTTCCTGATTTTATAAATAGAAAATGAATAATTAAAATTTCAAATTATTAGAATAAATAACATAAAGTATGTTATAAAATAGGAAGAGCTTGTATATTATTAATTAGTTGTTGTATCATTTGTCTATGAATTATTATTATTATTGTTATTATTGTTATTGTTGTTATTATTGTTATTATTATTGTTATTATTATTATTATTGTTATTATTGTTATTATTATTATTATTATTATTATTATTATTATTATTATTATTACTACTTTAGTTATTGCTTGTCATATTAGTATTATTAGATGATTTAGTTTAGGTATTACAAACTTAACATTTTGAATTTTTTTCATTCCAAGTATATGTATAATTTGAAAGTTTATAACATTCTGATTAATTAAAAATATTTGGATCTATAAGGGTACATTTCCCATCAATTTCTTTACAAAAATATTAGGATTTTCCATCCCATGATTAGAAATAAGTACAAACTCCATGCAATATTTAATATGTATTGCAGGTGTGTTCTAAACATTTACCTTCTGAATTAAAATAACATTTTTAATTTGCTTATCGGCAAGCTTACTCATCCTCATTAGCAGATGAACAAGATGTCATTAATTAACATTTTCCACTTATAGACCAATAACAGATTCCATCCAAACCTACAGTATTACAAGCATTTTTTGTCTAATAATCAGAACATAATTGCCATTAAATACATTTAAAACCATCAAATGTACAACTACCTAATTCTAAACTACAATTAGTAGGACTTGGGGCTGAAATATCTGAGCATTATTTTACTTAACATGATTTGTCTTATTCCTTCCAAATACAACTACCTTCTGTGGCTTTTGCATTATTACAAACCTATTAGGATTAATAAGTGACACAACTTGATATAGCTAAACATGAAACACCATCAGAAGTACATTTTAACTTTAAATTTGTAACAATTTAATAACATTACTAATGCGTTTGATAATTATAATCTGAGCAAATTGAATCTCTGCACATTTATTAAACCGAATTCCAAACACAAGGATTATAATTATTATTCACATTGCATGACTCGTAAGCTTAATATGCAGTACAGTCAGCCAATGGTATACACCCTGTTAATCCATTAGATGTACACTTTTAATTTGCTTATTAACATTCTTCATGTCTTAAGTAATATGCTGAAGAACAAGATTCAAAAGTCATACAAACGGGTTTGGTTTCATAAAGTGCAGTTATAGTTTACATGCACAATCCGTCAATTCCAGTAACACAACCCCCATTCGTATTTGTTTCTGAGCATGATGTTATAGGAATACATTTGATACCATCAGTGGTGCACTAATTTGAAATCTATTTACATTATTTGTCTGTATTCCATTAGATACTCTAACAAGAATTGTAACTATAACATCTTCCCTAAGATTACTCATTAGAGAATTTGTTAACAATCCATAAACATGGACCATTTAAACCTTCAATGCAAGCATCTTCTAACATTGTATCTTCACAGTTCTTTATTTTTGTACATTTTGAATTGAGTCCCACTGTACAACTTTTACTTTATGTATTGCAGCTTTTATGTGAACTTCCAGTAAGATCTTAACATTCTTTATTTTTACAACCACCACCCTCTTTAACAACACAAACACCTTTTAGGAATGAATCACAATCATAATTTGATGTTATAGTAATGGGAGCATGATCACAAGTTTTATTAACACATTCACCATTAGCAGTCCAAAAGCAATCAATTCCTTATATATCTTTAACACATGCTTATTATACATTGGCAACCTAACATGTTCCATTGTTGATACATCCTCCTCCATTTGTTGTAATACAATAACTTAAAAATGATTAACAGTCTTAATTTGTTGTGAATAAATTTGGTGCATTAGAACAAACTTTATCTAAACATTAATTATTTATCCAAAAACATGAATTTCCTTCTTTATTTATAATACATTCAGAATCTTTTTTGAAGTCTAAACATTGAATTTATGGTGTATTTGGATCATATGATTTAACAGGTTATGCATATAATATAGTTTCATCTTAACAACCACCTAAGGAAGTGGATTTACAATTGAATATCTAAGATTTGCATTAAGAATTTTAAGTGAATGTATTAGGTAATTCTTAACATTTTTAAGGATATCTACATTTATTAGTAATCTTGTCCCAAAAACACCATTTCTATTTCATATCTTATTGACAAGCTATTTCTGTTTAATAAGAATCACAAATTCCTATTTCTATACAATGAATTCCATTGGTTATACATCTTTCAGATATTTTTTAACATCTAAGGTTATCTTTTTCATTAAATGCTGTACATCCAGTGAAATGAGAGCATTTTGATTGATACCATTAACAAGGTCCATTAGAAACACAAGTTTCACAAGGTTTAAGTTTATTACAAGTATCATTTGAAAATTGATCACAATATTTTTCAAATTATTCTTGTGATTAAGTATTTGATGTTTCATATTCACATTACTTCTTAAAAGAATTCCAATTACATTTTAATTAACTCATAAAACAATCAACTTGTGATAACAATTAATTGCATGAACATTCTTATCTACTCTATTATGAATATCCAATTAGAAAGAGAACAAAAACAACAAAGGTTTTCATCTTTATGTTTAATAATAAACTGTATTAATTCAAGTTTGACCTTAAAAATTCAATCAATAGAATATTTTATTTTAATTAATTTTTATATTTAATTTTTACAAAGTTCAAAAAATATTCTATTGTTTAATATATTAAATTTTGCATGTCATTTGAGATAGAAATTTAGATAGAAATTTAGTCAATCTATATTAAATAATTTAGCTTTGATAGCTTATAGGATTTACATAATATCTAATGTAATAATAATGAATTTAATTATAAATTAATTTAAAATATAATTTATATTCACAAAAACAAATGTTGTTTATGAAACTTACATTTATTTTGACTTTTAGTTCCAATTAATTCTACTGTAAACTCGTTTTCAAATTTTAATTCAAATACTAAAATAATTGTGAATTGTTCTTAAATAAAAGTAATTACTAAAAAAATCCTTAAATTAATACATAAAATTTTGAATGCTGGAGAATAAGCCAAAACAAATTTTCTTATATTTGTATTCAGTTAATTTAATTACTTCCAGATATAAATGATCGGTTATTTTTAAGATCGATTATCTAAAATAAAACTTACCTAAGCTTTTTAGTACTATTTGCAAGCTGAATTTTATCTAAGATGATAATCTCTTATCACTATTTTGATCAATAAATTGATAAGTAAATATTGAAAATAATTGTTAATAAATAAACAACTTAAAGTATAAAAATTAGCAACATATTTTATGATAAATTATTAAAGTGATAATTTTGGAATACTCTTTTATTAATATTTAAGTTATTTAAGTTATTTTAATTATGTAATTAAGATACAAATAATTCCTAAATATAAATTAAAAACTTAATTTTCAATTTAAAACATAATTAATAAAATTTACTTGGATCTTTTTATTAATTAGATTTACAAATCCTGTTATAATATGTAAATTTATATTCATCAATTTTATAATTATGTTTAATATTAGATTAACATAGATTCTATTATTCATATAAATCATATTTCCTTATATTTATACTTGTTTTCACTTTCTAAGATTATCATTATTAAGACAAACCAAAACAAAATAACAATTTTATTTATTTATTATTAACAAAATCAAGAGTGATTTATAGTTGTATAAAAAATAGATTTAGTAATTTTAGGTTAAGATTTATTAATTATCATTTTAATGTATGCTTAGTTTATTATTTGTGATTACCCTATAGCATTAATATTCTATAAATTCAATAATTATTATAAATTATTGGATAATTCTCTAAATAATGTTTTCTATAATACTTCAAAAAGATCTTGATTAAATTCCCTGTTAATTTAATCACAAATTTCCTGTTCAATTTTATGTTTAAGATGTTACTAAAGATGTAAAAACTATTTTTTTATGCCAATAATGTTTAACTATGTAGACTTTACCTTAAAATGCAAAACTATTTGATAAAGCAAAGGGTAAGATGTTATAGCAAAAGTAATAATCACTTGAATTAGGGAAAATGTTAATTCAGAAATAAGTACAATAAATCGAACAATTAGCATACGAAATTGATAATTACAAAACTTTTATTATATAATAGATTGACTCATCAAAATAAGATATAAAATTATGGAGATAATAATTAGAGTCTTTCTATGTGGAGGAAAAGGCATTCAATTTTGATATAGAAGTGAAATCATTACATTTAAGTCAAGAAGAATATCAATTAAAAGAGCATATCAGACTAGCTGAAAGTATTCTTAATTTGAATTAATCTTATTATCAAAAAATAAACGAGAAATTACATAAATTCTTTGATATAGATTAATTTTAGAAGTTATAAACAAGACTTGATTATAGTATCAATAAATCTGAATTAAACATTCTACTTAAAGACTAAGAAATATTTCAATTACATAAAAATTTAATGATTCAAAAATTTCCAAATAAATGGTTTTTAAGAGGAAATTTTGATAATATTGAAGAAAATATTATATATCATATTTTGAATTGGAGAACTTATCGTTAAAATACTGAAGAAATTTCAAGATTTTATGATGATATGGATGGTAGCCAAAATTTTCTTTCATTAATGTTTCCGAATTTTTATAAGAGTCAATTTCATTAAAATAGTGTAAGATTAACTCCATAAGAAAGAAATGAAATGATAAATGATGAATAAGTAATCCTTAATCAATCAGTTTTAGGTGACTGAATAGTTAATTGAAAACTTTTAAATGTATCTGTGTTATTCAGGACTATAATTGTTTGAAAATAAAATAAAAATTCAAAATATATTGCAACTTTAAAAATTTCAGAATATTAAGAATATGTAAGGTTTGCAAAGAGTAATATCTTCTTTAAGTGTTTTGAATTAGCGTTAAAATGCATTATTACTTTTGAAATTTTTAAAGGAAATTGATTTCTATTATAATGAAATATTTATCTATTATGATTTGTTAAAAGAGGAAGGAAATTAAAATTAATATGCATTTAGTTTTCAATAAGTAAAAGAATATTTTGTTCAATCAGACTTGTTAGATGAAAAATGGGTAACACATAAAATTTTAACAAATCAAATTTTAGATGTTTGATGTTATATAAGATAATTAAGATTTAATTGAATATAATAAAATTATTTTTTTAATGATAAAATTCAAATGTAAGATGATATTGTTATTGTTTTCATTATGTTTAACTTTTGTTTGTAATAATTTAATATATATTATTAAAATGCTTCAATAATTCTTGAATATGGGATTTACTTAATAATAGATAGTCAAAGCTTAACAAATATGCAAATAATATAGAAACTTAGAGATATTAGATGTGCTTCTAAAAAATGTTTAGTCTCCAATAAAAGAATAATAACAATCCCAATCCTAGATTTTGAGAGAATTGTCATTTGATGTTTTGACTCCTGATTAGAGATTGCGATAAAAGGGAAGACCTGTAGGATTGAAAAATTTAGCTAATGGTTTTTGTGATATTTATGTTAGTTTGTTATTTGAATTCTCTGATATAGACATATTTTCATAATCCAATTTTTGTGAAAGAGATATTGAGCTTTAAATATCCAGTTTAATTGAATTTTGAGGATCTATTAAATAAGAATGAAGCAAAAGCAAAGAGAATAAAGTCATCAATTGATTTAGTTGTACATTTGTAGAGGTTTCAATAATAATAATTTTAGACTATTTGCTTACTTAGTTCATACAGATAGAAAGTATGTAGATCCATATAGAGTATTCTTAAATGTGGTAGATGAATTTGGTAATAGATTTTAATTGGGTGATTAAAAAGATTGGGCGGAGTTCAATTTATAATTTATAACATGTATTGATGAAGGATTAAAATATCATGAGAATAAAATAATGGATGCTGAAATGTATAATGAAAATGGTGAATAACATGAATCAGATTAGTATCATAATAAATCAGGAATTATACAAACTAGATCTATGATATTATTGGATGAGAATAAAACTAAATTAATAGAATAATAACCATTACAATCATAACCTTAAAATTAAACTATAATTAATAGATTATTCTTTGGAAAAATTAAAGAATATATTACACATCCAAATTAAAGAAATTAAAGTGAAGAATAAGAATAAATATTTTTATAGATTATTTTAAATGTTAAAAATAAGAGTTTATATTAAGCTTGGGAAGCAAATAATTCATTTTCAATAGAAGGATATCGTAATGGAAGTGAAGTAATTGAATTAGCTGAAAAAACTATTTGGATTACTTAAGTACCTGATTCTTTGTTATTCTAAATTTAAAGAGTAGGATATGATCCAGAGAGAGGATTAATAAAATTAAATGATGAATTTAGATTTGAAAAAGAGATTTATGCTGATAGATTTCTTTTAGAAAATAGATAGAAGGTTATTGAAACATAATAATAATTAAATGAACTTAAAATTTAATAAGCAGAATTATTATTTCAAATGGATAAATATTAAAATTATGGAGGGATTTCAATGTTAACTATCTTAAATACAGCTACTAAATATGTAAAAGAAGTAAAACCAAATGATGAAATAATGCAATAAAGAATTGAATAATGTAGATTAAGTATACAATTAATTTTATAGAAATTTCAATTATAATTGGATTAAATTAATTAGAAGATTGAAGATTTATATGCTATAATGAAAAAATATAAGTATTTTCTTTAAAGTATTTTAATCCATGAAGGTGCAGCAGAATCTGGTCATTATTATACTTATATCTATAATCCATCATTAAAATTATGGTTTAAATTTAATGATATCAATGTTACTTAAGTAAGTGAAGAAAAAGTATTACGTGATTCTTATGGAGATGGTAAATCAAAAACTAATGCATATTGTTTAATTTATTAACGTGCTGATCATTTTGATCCACAATCTTATTCAGATTATACAAATAATTCTGTTTATGCTCAATATATTCAATAGAATCTCTATGAAGAAGTTACTAATGATAACAAAAAGTTTTCTATTGAATAATAAGAATATGAACTTGTAGAATTGGGAGATTTAGTTGTTGAAATCTATAATGTATAATTTCAATAAGTTAATGAAATGGCTAGAAAATTTAAATATAGAAATGGTAATCCACTTAACAATTTTCCAACCTATTTACGTACTCTCTTAGATCAAATGAATGACTTAGTTAAATGGAGTATTTTAGATTATGCTATCAGAGAAGCATCACAAGGCAAAAGAACTTTGAAAGATTATTAAGAATAAATGATCTTTCAATAAAGGTATATATATCTATTATTATATATTCATCCTAGAATCAAATACAATTTTGAATAATTGAGTCATTTCAAAGTACCATCCAAATACGAAGTTGACAAACAAACCATTAAACATCTTCAGTATTACTATCTGTAATATATTTCATCACTCAGAATCACTGCAATACAATAATTTTAGCATATTTGAATTATATTTAATTATATATATATAAAATGGTTTCAGCATATTCAGTTGGAAATGGTAAAAGATCCAATGAAGCTCAATAAGGACCTGATACTCCAGGACCTGGATAATACTCTGGAGACAAAAAACAAAAATACACTCCCCCCAGTTACAAGTCTCAATTCTTTATTTATATTAGGATTCCACAAGCACAAAGATAAACTTTTTAATCAACTTTTACTCCAGGACCAGGAGCATATGCTTCTTCTGATGTATGATATCTATCTAACTTAGAACCTACTCAAAGGACCAAAGTTTTCTTTTGCTGGCAAAAAACAATAATCTGTTACATCCTTTTAACCTGGACCAGGAGCCTATAATGTAAAACCGACCAAACAAGCACCTTTATATAGTTTTAGTGGCAAATATGGAACACATCCTGATGATTAATAACCTGGACCAGGAGAATATTAATTAAGTAAATAATTAGATGCTCCAACCATGAAGTAATTCTATCTATTATATGCTAGGTTTCCTCGATCAAAGAGAGATGATCCACATTCTGAAAAAGTTCCTGGACCAGGAGGTATCATTACTTTTTTTATTATATACAAGCCTACAAATAGGATAGACCTGAATCAGCCCCTAAATATCGTTTTGGTAATTCATAAAGAAGAGGATTATATGACAATGAACTTGGAAAAGTTCCAGGACGTATATCAATTCATTAAATTATTAGCTGGACAATACAATTATTAATCATAATTTGAATCTGTGTAAACTAAGGGCTTTACTTTGGTCTCTAGGAAGGAACAAATTACACAATAACTTGTTGTTCCTGGACCTGGAGCTTATGATCCATAACAAATTAAAAGACCTCCTTCCTGTAAAATTGGCAAGTCAATGAGAGGATTATAATTTGCTAATCCAAATCCAGGACCAGGAGAATATGAACCACAACTTGATACTATTCGTCCTTAATCAGCTATGGTCAGAGTAGGATCAGCTACTAGAAGACCGCTAAATGACGTGAAAGGAGTACCAGGACCTGGTACTTATGATTTACCTTCCAAAATGGTTGAAGGTCCATAAGTGAAAATTTTAGGTCATAAATATGATCCTGTCTAAGCTTAAAAGGATTAGATACCAGGACCAGGTTAATATGAACGTCCAATTATGTAAAGACCATAATCAGCAAAGTATAATTTTTGAGAAATATAATTATAAGAATAGGAACATCTAGAAGACAGGAACTTAATTCTACTTTAGAAGTTCCAGGACCTGGACAATACAAACCTAAAGATAAATTAGGAGGGCCTAGTTGGGGTTTTGGTACTAGTAAACGACCACCATTGAATCCTAAGAATGAGACTCCTGGACCAGGTGGTTATGATTAAGGAAATGAATTTGGATCTCTACCAAAATATGCTATGAAGAAGATACCATGATCTTGATAATGAAAAAAACTTATCTTAAAATTGATTAGAAAATATATAATATATTATTCTAGTAATATAAGTATTATCTATTAAATGAAAACTTTATTATAATTAAAATTATGATTTGTAATTTATGATTTATCATAATATTATGATAGTTTTAGGAGATTCTGTAGTTGTTTCAATTATAGTATAAAGTGATAAAATTTAATAAATAATTATTGTATTTAGTTAGTTAATGTTATTGGAGATTCCTTTTCATATATTAGATTTGATTTTGAGTTGTTTAACATATTAAGAATTAAAAAGAATATAATGGATAGATTAGTTTTTTGCTACATACATTCCAAGCATTATTCTAAGGACTAAAAATTAAATTAGCATATCTATATTTGATTCAAATAAAAGTTTGGGATTGAATAAGTGGTTAAAATTAGATAAATTGCATTTAATCATTTCTACAACAAGTCTATAAGAATTAAAGCAAATTTTAAGATAAATCCCATAATCAGTGAAAAAATTGAAGATCTAGTTAAATTATGACCTAATTATATAAGAAAGGTTTTATTCTTATATTTCAAAATATTCTTAGTAATTAATTACTTTGAAATTGATTGCTACAGGGCCAAATATCATTTAAACTAAGTAGAAGTAAATTTAATTATAAAATTATATTAGTATAGATTCAAAGTTTTTACATAATCATTTTTATGAGAAAATGAGAAATCTTAAAACATTTCAACTTGATACAACAAATTTGAGTAAGATTACAAATGAATCAATCTAAAATTATTTATTTTTTGCATTATTTTATAAAGATGAATAGTTTCAAAGATAACCAACAATTTAAAAAATATCATTTGATTAATTAGCTGATACAAATCAAATGGAGAGAGGTTATTTATAGTAAAGTAATTTCTAAATAAATACAACAATAAAAAAAATCACTTTGAAATAATTTGATTAAGCATAATAAATGAATTTATTGATTCACTTATAAAAACTAACAATTTTAATAGGAGATCAAGTAGAATCAATAAAATTATGTTAACATTTAAATTTACATACAATAATTGAAGGAGATAAGATGACAGCATTTCTAAAACATTTTAATAATTTAAGAGTGCTTTCACTTAATATGTAAACAAAATTAAATATTTCTTTAATAGTTATAATATATCATTTGAAATATCTAATTTTGAATTAGATGAATTAGCATAACTTAATTTAAGATCTCTTGGTTTAGCAAGTTTAAAATATCATCAATCACATTTTGCATCATTATTTTCTTTACTTCCAAATTTAATAATGTTGAATTTAGACTTTACTTCTATTGATGATGAATGTCTAAATATATTAGGTTTAATTAATTAATTATAAATATAGGTTATTTAACAAACTATACATAATTAAAAATACGTGGATGTAGAAAATTGACTAATGGATCTTTATTGCCATTTTTAGAAAAATAGAAGTATTTAACTTAGGTGGATATAAGAGGAGTATTAGGATTTAGTAAAAAGGCATTTAGATTATTAACAAAGAATAATATACTTTAATAATTATGTATATCAGTAATTTTATTAATATTAAATAATTAGGATAATAAGATAAATAATTCAGTATTAGTAGATCTACTTAATAAAAATAGTGGTAATTTAAGACATTTAAATATTGGTGAGTTAATGAATAATTAAGGATTGACTAATGATGTATTCAAATAAGCAAAAGAAAGGTATTTCAAATTTATAAAATATTTAGAAATATTTGTCTGTTGAATATGTAATCTGCATCTGTTAAATTTACTGCACAAAGTTTTTCAATTAAAGTAGTCTCTGATTTTCTATATCTAGTACCAAATATTTAAGTATTGTGTTTGAAAATCAATTTTTAAAATATTATGTTTCTGATAGATCAAATTTTAGAGTAATATTTAGATTTTATTTATAGACATGAGTCCATTTGCAATAGTTTATAGAAACTTACTTTATCTTGTAATTGTTTTGCACATTTGAATGTGAGTTAAAGGGAAATACTAATATTTCAATCTTTTCGTTAAAAAGCAATAAGATTAGACACTTTGACTCTGAATGTTAGTGATGGTGGAAATGAAGTTGGTAAGATATTCTTTAATTGTATATCAAAAAAGACTTAGGGACATGATATCAGATTGGTTTTACCATAATAAAATATATAATACATAATTTGATCTATTTATAATTATTTTTCATCAAGTAATTAATTACAATATCGATTCTCCAATTGCAAATGTATTTTCTTTTTAATAACCACCTGATAATAACATAAGAATTGGAATTTTTTTATGGCTAGCCCATTTAAATACTACTTCATCTCTTCTTTATATTCCAGCTGCTGATATACAACAATTTCCAAGGGGATCTCCTGCCATAATATCAGTACCAGCATTATAAATAATAAATTCCATATCATCTTTGATATGTTTCTCAAGATCTCTTTAAAGTATTTTTATATATTATTCATCTGTTGTATCTCTATCAACATGTTCAAAACAATCTATTGCTTATTCAGCTTCATGATCCCCAGGATATATATAAGAATTATAAAAATCTATTATATAAACTGAAGAATCATGAAGGAAATCCCTTTCATAACCATTTCCTTAATGAGCATCTAAATCTACTATTAATATTCTCCTTAAATTGCAACATCTCTTAAGGTAGTTTACTACTAAAGTTATATCAGGATATATACAGAATCTAATTGAATATAATAATATTTATATATATACCCGCCACCACTATTTAGAGAGGCATGATGATATCCTCCACTAAGATTGATTGCCCAACCCTTTTCAAGAGCTAGTTTGGCAGCATAAATACTACCACTAGTAGCAAGAAGCATTGAATCTAAAAGACAAGATCTCAAGAAAGCTCCAGGCAAAAAGAATACAGGCAATTCAATTAATGTTGAGGCATATGCACTATAACAGATTTTGAGCAAATACCATCTGCTCATGCCTAGATATAGAAAAGTTCCTCTTGATAATATTGATGGAGTAAAATGCTAAGCTTTTATTTTTTCCCTTATTTATTTATAAACATTCCCATATTTGCATGAATCAAATGGATGCCATTTTTCAATACCGCATGCAGTAATATTGTAATTTTCATGATAGACAATTGGTATCTCAGGCATATTTCTTATGCAGATGTCCTATTTTACACTTAAAATATTATAAGAGAATTCAATTATCAAAGGGTAGAGTAAATATAAGAGCAATCCTAAAAGACAAGCTGCTCCACTGACATATAATCCTAAGAGTATTGCTATTATAGCAGATCCTATAGTAAAAACCCAATCTATAAAGGTATATAGTAGCATTTTAATAAATTAAATGAAAGAGTCTAAACGAAAAAATTTACATTCAACATTTGGAAAGGCTGGTCGCTTTCCTAAATAGCAGTTCTTCCATGAAAACTTAATCATTAGTGAACCAAGTTAAATATAAAAATCTCGTGGCCCTACTTTCCCTAAAGGTTAACGAATTGTCTTTCATGGGAACTAACAAACTCCAGGACCTGGAAATTATAATATTTCAGAAGTGAAAGTTATTAAAAGTTAACCTGAAAAAGCTTATAAAGTGAACAAGGAATTTTTGGATTATATGAATTCAAGACCTAAGTCTGTTTAATAATGCAATCCAGGACCAGGTACTTATGAATTGGGTTCTACATTAAGGAAAAGGGGAATTTCATTCACAAGATCAAGAATTGGTAGTTTGAGAATCTCATAATCTCCTGGGCCTGGATAATATACAATTAGTAGGCCAATTTCTAGAGTTTAGTGATTTATATATAATTTTCATTATAATATATTTTTACTGAATCATAAATTTATAAAATTTATACTCTGTATGTATATATATATATATTAGTGGTTAACTTAAAAATACTAATTATTTTTATGATAGAACAATTAATTAAATTAAAATTAATTAAATTTATCAATTCTTTCTTACGAAAGTCCAACCATTTATTCTATTTATACCTGAATTTTCTTCATTATAATCTGTATCTCCAAGATTCTAATATATTAATAACACATTATACATGAGTATATTTCCGAATTATACTATCTAAATTTTCTTAGCTAAGTCCAAAAGTAACTTTCTCTTCAGGATTATCCCATTCCAACCATTCATGTAATTTTATCAAATTCCAATTTACTTAGGATGGCTATTTGCAACCAATTCTTTTATTGGCTTCTTTTTACAACAATCCAAATAGAATAGATTAACAAGGCTTACTTAATTTATTAGGAATGTGAAGATTGTCATTGCGAATGCTATTGTATAAAGTGTCTATATCTTCACTAAAATATGGTGGATCTCCTAATAGTAATTCATATAACACTGTTCCAATTCCATAAACATCTGTGGCTTGTACAGCTCCTTTTTTTGCTAAGACTTCAGGAGCTAGATAAGCAGGAGAACCACAAAAAGTACGTGTTTTACCATCCTCTGTTTATTTTGAAAGACCAAAATCTACTAGTTTGATTCTTCCTTCATTGTCTAGAATAACATTTTCTGGTTTGAGATCTCTATATATAATATCTTTGCTATGTAAATATTCTATGGCTTTCATAATTTAACGAGTAATAATTTTACATATATTTTCATCAAAAGTCTTATATTTACAAAGATGATAAGAGAGATCTCCACCACCACAATAATCCATAACTAAATAGAGATTGTTAACTGTTTAAAATGATTAAAAAAGATTGACAATTTATGGTGAATCAACTTATTTTAAAATATTGCATTCAGTAATAGCAAATTTTATTTATTTTTTTTGCATCAATCTTTTTTTGCTTAATTATTTCATGGCATAAATATTTTAAGTAGGATTATGTTTAACAAGAAAAACTTTTCCAAAGGCTCCTTAACCAATCTATTTAATAACAGAATATTAATTAAGATATTAGAAGCATAATTTTATAGATTAAGGTATTTCTACAGGAGATAAATTAATAGATAAATCTATTTATTATTATTATTATTATTATTATTATTATTATTATTATTATTATTATTATTATTATTATTATTA